CATGTGTTTTGTATCTTTAATTTTATGGATAAATTTTATGTACTCTATCAATAAATTTGTTGTAATTTACTTCTTATTTTTAATTCGGTGTATGGTGCATTATTTAAAGTCAATAAATATTTATTTTAACTATGAATTTTATTGTTAGTAGATTCTTTGTTTCATTATATTTCAATAATTTGTTGATTTTTATAATTTTTTATGTTTTTTTAAATATAGGAAATAAAGTAAATACTTCATTTTAAAAAAAATTAAAAAAAACAATGAACGGAGTTGGCTACTCCGTTTCATAATTAAATAATTGGAACGGAGTTGGCTACTCCGTTTGGGTATTTAAATGAGTGGAACGGAGTAGCCTACTCCGTTTCTGGTAAATTCTGCAGGCCAAACGGAGTACGCTAATCCGCTTTGCTTTATTTGGGAAAGTGTATAATAAAGTTACATATAATGAAATACAAAACAAGGAACTTACACATGCAGGGAAATCACCCAATGTATATACCCATCAAAAAAAATTGAATTTTTTCGAGACCATCAATGGACGTGGCTCTAGACGCATTAAATAAACCCATTTACTTTTTTTTTTTTACAAATTAGCTCTAAGTATGCCCTTGTAATTCTTTAGTCAACAAAAGTCTCCATTTGAAAGCATTAAATGCAATAACTTTTTGGATGCATCAATCTATGTTAGAGGATATGTCCTGGTTAGATTTAAATATTCATTTCTTTGTTAAATAACAATAACGTATAGTCCCTATCTAAAGATATTTAGTACTGTTTTTTTAAATCATCCATTTGATTTTTTTGCATGTAAGCTTTATTAATATTTTAAAAAGTGTAAGTTAAACAACAGTGTATTTCATTAAAATTATTTGAGAAAAGAGATTAAGAAGCTACTTTTAAAAACGACTCTAATCCTTTTTAATTACCTAATCTATTTCAGTAATAAATTATTTTTGCCAAGGAAGAAAATTTACTTTTAGGAAGACTTTTGATCAGCACCGTCTAACCTAGAGATATGATAGCTAAGTTAGGTATTCAATTAGTTTTGCAGCTCTAAATACCACTTTTCAAGGAAATACATTAAATGTATGAGATATTAATGCTCTTCTGTATTATTTTCTCGAGCCTCCCAAAATCTGATTTAATTCCTGAGCTCCAAAACAATACACATTTCAATGCATCAAATATTGGTATTTTCGATGCAAAACCATAGAGATAGGTATTGGTGGACAAAACAATGAGAGAAGTGTACTTATTACTTTGATAGTTGTCATGGATCAAAAATGTTTTATGGCATAAACACCTCCTTCCACAATCTGTTTTTATAACAGTTGTTGTATGGTTTTTTTGATTTGGCAATGAATCCCAGTCATCTGTTACACATCAAGAAAGACGATAAGTGTTGTGAAAATTAACGGGAAAAAACTTGGATGAATCGAGAGTTATGTATAACACTTTCAGATTGAATATTTTGGTTGTTCACTCCGAAATTCAATCGGATAAAACTCGAAGGTATCAAGAACGAGTATCAATTGCTATGAAATTTCCGAACGTCATTCCGACCATGGCTTGCGGGAATTAATAAACTTGCGGCGAGAAGGAGAAGACACCATCGCGTCTATTACCCAAAGCATGCAACTCTTTGGCAAAAACTCCTTCGAAAATTAGCGCTATCCGTAATGAATTTTTCCTTTAAATGAAATTCGAAAATACAAATTCAAATGAATTTTTTAACATCTCGACCCCAGCCAGGGGCTCTGCCCCTTGGACCCTGCAGGGGCTGCTGCCTCTTGAACCCTGCTCGGGGGCGCTGCCCCCTTGGAACCTCCGATGTAACGAGATTTTTATCGTAACAAACTCAATGAAGCGTGCACTCCGCACCACCAAACTTCTTTGATGATTATTAGGATACCATTGGTCATAATTTTTCCAATTACACTAAAATATATAACAGCAAGCATGGTTAAAATATGGATGAAGAGCTTGTTTGAGTACAATTTATATAGAAGAAAAGTCAAAATGTTTCGTATGAAGTTGTACGATTCATTGATGTTTCAATGCAGTTTGTTTCAAATTATGCAGTTTGTGAAAATGCAATTTGGGAATGAATATTTTCTTGAACAATAACTCATACAAATAGTGGTCAATTCCCATACATTTATTCATAAATACATCATTCGAAAAAGGGTTTTAGAATAATTGGAAATTGGAACAGGGGTTAAACACGTCTGTATTTGTAGTGCTCACTTTTCATCCTCTCCTTCATTCCTCGGTGGTCGCGGCTGGATCCAAAGGCCATACCCGAATTAACCCCGCAATGGCTGCCTTCGTTCCTCCCCCCGCCGCCACAACTCCACCGGCGGATTCCAAGCCGGCGGTACCGGAAAAAGTCGACTATATGAACCTGCCTTGTCCCATTCCGTATGAGGAAATCCACCGCGAAGCTTTTAGTCAGTATTTTATTGCAATTCTCTTTTGAATGCCTCTTTTTAGTTTTCCCTTTTCTGTTTCTGTATCTGAACTTGCAACCTCAATCTTTTAGGGTAATACTGTGAAAACAACTGCTGAAGATTAGGCTTTGTTTTAGGTTCAATTTGAAATTAGCTTCAGCTTTTGGAAATTGCTATCCGAAAACAGCCTTTAGCTATCAAACCCATCAAAATGTTATACAAAAAAGCTAACGCTAAAGCTAATCACAAATTTGGTAAACGGGTAGAGAACTCTAGCCTCTACAACTTCAGCACACTAGGTGTGTTAAACATGAAATAGGTCATGGAAGATCAGAAGAATTGCATGAACTTTTAGAGTAGGTGTGTTAAACATGAAATAGGTCATGGAAAATGCAGAAAATAATAGATCAACGATATAATAAAACTTGAATTTCTATTCAATGTTCACTACACTTGTTGTGTAAGGTAGCCCGAAAGCCTAACACCCTTCTTTTGTGAGCTGGATTTGATATTTGAAGTTCGAACAAGAGGAAGACGAAGGTGGCTACCATGGGAGATGGTGATTGAAGTGGAAACTCATGAATTAAGTGAAGAGTGACATTGGTGTTAAACCCAACAAGTCAAACAATCCAAGTATAAATAAAAAATGTTAGGTTGTGAGGCCCAATTAATATTTGATGTACTCTCAAATTAAATTGTTCACGTGGTTCAAATAGCTATTTTTATGTCTTTTAGGTGGTACCTTTTACACTCCCAGTATAGCTATTTTTATAACGTAGATACTCTAAATCATCAATATATAGAGTAGCTTGCCAACATTGTTATGTTTAACTTGTAGCTTGTCAACATTGTAGGTTGTACCTTTTACACTCCCAGCATAGCTATGTTTAACTTGTAGCTTGTCAACATTGTGCACTATGCATACTATCCTTGTATGCTGAGCAGGTCCCCCCAAAAAAATGCTGACTACTAAACTTTTAGGTTATGCATGCCCCCATAGACATGTGTTGCTGCATTTCTCTGGGTCATAATATACTCAATTATGTTGAGTTTATTGTTATTGTTGAATTTTCATCATAGTATCAACATCATTATTTTTTTTCTGAATGATAGTTATGAATTAAGTACTCCCTCTGGCCTCCGCCTTGTTGTATCTGTCTAGTTTTCTTTTTTGGGTCGTCCCATTGTATCCGTTCACTTTCCCTTAAAGGTAGTACTCCACTTTACTTTACATGCATATCTGACGCTTTTGTGGGTTTTGCCTCTTTTTATTTTCAAATTTACTTATTACAACTCCTACGCAATCCCCACTCTTGACTAAAAAGTAAGGGAAAAATGGACCAAGCATGCCCTTCATCCTCTGTGATCCAAGAGCCCAAAAAAACTGGACGTAACATAGGGACAGAGGGAGTAGTATGTTATTCACTGGTTTTATGGATTTTCTTAGCATTAATTTATTGAGTTTAATCATGTCAAATTAGGCCTTAAATAATTTCAGTGCAACTATTTTGATTCAATCTACTATCTTGACAGTGTCGCTGAAGCCAGATTTTTTCGAAGGCATGCGCTTTGACTTTACAAAAGCACTTAACCAAAGATTTTCACTCAGTCATAGGTACATTAAAGAAAAGTCCAATGGTAGATGTTTAATGTTTTATTCTCAGTGGATACCTTCCTTTTGCCTTAGGAAGGGGAACCTGTTGTACCCTGTTTGATGCGGTTGGTTTTTCTTTTCATTGTTTATCAGCATGTTAATGGGACCCACAGAAATTCCTTCGCAGTCCACAGAGATAATAAAAATTCCGAACTCTCATTATGAGTTTGGTGCAAACTTCATAGACCCTAAGGTGTGTTATTGGAGTACTTCTTTCCCATGCTTAAAGTCTCTAGACTTTTCACAATTTGCAACAATGTTATCATGTGAATACTGTTTGGTTGTTACAGTTGTTTCTTATCGGGAGGTTGATGACAGATGGTCGTCTTAATGCTAGAGTGAAATGTGATTTGTCCGATGCTTTTTCTTTGAAGGCCAATGCTCAAGTAAATATATGAGATTACCATACCCATATTTTGTTTTCATCTGTTGTGCATGTATCTATTATTTATTTTAAAATGCCTGATTGACTCTTATTTCATTTTCTTCCCAGCTCTCAAATGAGCCACATATGTCACAGGGAATGCTCAATTTTGACTATAAGGCAAGGGGCTGCTATTCACTTGTAGAATATTTATTAGGCTTGTAATCTAATCCTTCAAGCCTCTGTATTTAAACCATTATATACTTGGTGACATCAAGTTGATATAAACTCTTACAATTGTAACTCAGGGAAATGATTATAGGGCCCAATTTCAATTGGGGAATGGTGGATTGCTTGGAGCCAGTTACATCCAGGTGAATGATCAAATCTTTTTATGTTGATTTTTTGGCATTATGCATGTTTGATGTGCCTAGTTACAACTTATAGTATCCCACTTAGACAATTGTAAGGAAGATGTGCCTTTTCTCTCTATCCATAGGCAATTGTAGGGAGGGTTTCTTGGAAAGAGCCTCTCTATTTTCGAGCAGGGGTAAGGTTTGCGTACACACACCCTCCCCAAATCCTACTTTTTCTGGGATTTTATTAGGTTTGTTGTTGTTGTGTGCTCCCTAGACTCAGAATAGTGTACAGGAGATGTTCTCTATCTCTCCATCCACAATCACCTACATACACATGCAACATACATACATATGCATACACGTGTGACTTGCATGCATGTTTGTTAGTGTATGCAACCACTCACCATGAATTACTTAAGATTTTTCCTGTTCTTTTTTATAAGGTTTTTTTTTGCGATGATGTGCATTCTATGGTTTTTGAAATCCAGTATCTTTTTCCCTTAACCCCTCTGTATCCAACAATATGTAATTCTTTCTTTTTTTGATTAACTTCTATAATCTTTTTACAGAGTGTGACTCCGCATTTATCTTTGGGAGGCGAAGTGTTCTGGGCAGGACAACATCACAAATCAGGCATCGGCTATGCTGCTCGGTACAACACTGATAAGATGGTATTGCTTAGCCCTTTTAAAACTTGTTCTATCATCTCTTGCAGCATAGCATGCATCCTTTGGTTTGGTTACTAGAGGTATTTAAATAAACCTTTAAAACAAATATTTTGTGCAAGTAATTTTTCTAGATCTTCTAATGCCATTTGAATCTTTTGTGCGTTGGCCATTGATTCACTTGGCCGCATTATAATGTGCTCTATTCTTTAATATTTCTAACTTTGGTATTTTAAAGATCAATTTGTTAAATTTGTAATGAAAGAGTGGTGGTTTTACTTTATATATTCTCTTTTTGTGAGTTATCACTTGATGACAATGTTTTCGCTTCGGCTAAATAATGGACCGGATTAGAATGACCCATTAAACTTCTTTTGCTTCTTACTTTGCATGAAATTTTGAGTAGTAAATGCAGCGATGCGTCAAGAGTCTGGCAGGAATTGCCCCATTTTTTCCACTAAAGTAGGGCTGAGTACACCCCAACGGAGTTGGGAATATATAGGTTTTGTTGTTGTTGGACTGTTGATTCAGTAATTATATACTCCCTCTGTCCAAGTTGAAACTTCCCATTTTGACTAGGTGCGGTTTTTATTGTTAAGTGAAAAAGTAGTTGACCTTCCTCTTTTCTTTTTCTCCTTTGTTCCTCCCCATCCCTTCCCCTTCTCTTTCTGATAGAATTTAGGATGGGTATGGACAACTGGATTGGGCTATAAGACACTTGGGCTGAACCACATTAAAAGATTGAATCCAATCGATTAGTTAGTTCAACTCAAGAGCTTATATACCGATTATTTTCCTCACACTTTTCCGATGTGGGATACTCTTAACACTCCCCCTCAAGTGGACAACCGGGCCATTTTGAATCTAACCGGTTGACCACTTGCAAATGAACTCCTATTCCCTTACCTTTTTTTTGAGCGCCAACACCTAAAAGACCACGAGCCGTTGGGTATGGACTTCCAGACAAGCAATCGTGTTAAACAGGCCACAGGCCGTTGGGTACATACTCCTTACAGAACACTGGGCTAAAGACAAACATGCCGTTAGGAATGAGCGTCTAGACGGACACCTTGACAAACGAGGTGGGCCAAAACCTACTCCGATACCATGATAGAATTTAGGATGGGTATGGACAACTGGATTGGGCTATAAGACACTTGGGCTGAACCACATTAAAAGATTGAATCCAATCGATTAGTTAGTTCAACTCAAGAGCTTATATACCGATTATTTTCCTCACACTTTTCCGATGTGGGATACTCTTAACACTGACATTCAACACTGCCACCCACCTTTCCACTCTTATTCTTTCTTTCTCCTTCTTCTACAATTTTATAAATCCAAATGGAAAAATTAAACATAAAAAAAAAATCAAATTTTAGGTTTTAGATCTAAAAAATCAAAGAAATTAAAAACCAAATCGCTTCAACGTCAACCTCGTAATGGCTTTAATCGAGCAGAAAGATGGACGGGATCCAGATCTGTAAGCTTCTCCGCCGATCTAATAACCAAAACCAAAAGAAAATTAAAACCTGGGAAGACGCCGCCGCCTGTCTGCCACTGCCAACACACTGCAAAGAGGGGAGGGCGAGACAGCGAAGAAAAGGAGAGGGGGTGGGGGGCTGACGATGAAGAAGATGTGAGGTGGGGGACTGATGAAAACAAAGAAGGGTGCGGGGTGGCTGGAGAAGAAGAAGAAAAAGGAAGAAGAAGAAAAAGAGGGGTGAGAATGGAGGGTGAGGGTGACTGAAGATGAAGAAAAAGAAGTGGGGAGGGGAGAGACAGAAGAATGGGCAATGAGGGGATGGGTAGCCTCAGACAACAAAATAAAGGGTAATTTGGTCATTTAGGCAAAAAATGCCAATTAAGGAAATGGGAAGAAAGAAGTGGGACGGCTTAAAAAGGAAAGTGAGAAGAAAGATATGGGACGAAGGGAGTATTTAATTTATTTTTTGTCGTGTTTGCCTGCAGGTAGCAACAGGACAAGTTGCTAACACTGGACTCGTTGCATTAAACTATGTTCAAAAACTTTCTGAGAAGGTAAAAATTTGACCCTCTTATATAGATTTCTGTCTAAGTCATGCAATTAAGATGCTTCTTGCATGCAGGTTTCTCTCGCATCAGACTTTATGTACAATTACATTGCTGGAGAGGTCACAGCAAGCGTTGGTTATGATTATATTCTTCGGCAGGTAATTTATACCCTTCAAATCCCACTTTGAGAGCTCTACCCTTATAAATTATTAGTGATTATCGAACGTTAGAGATACTGATTTTATTATTACACTAGAATTGAACCTTTTTTTCTTTAAAGTTTACAAAGGTAAAAAAATTATGGTTCATGTTGAAAATGTGGTTTTGTTAAAATTCTAAAGAAGTAGATAAAAACAAGATAAAAAACAACCCCACTTGAGTAGAAATGCTTTTTCATGATCATACTCATTTTTTATTTAGGCGGTGTATGGGAGACATGAAGTGATTCTCAAGGAAAACCATTTTCATGTGTTTGTAGGCAAAGGGGGGAATTTTTTTTCCTTGGACATATTTTCTGCAAGTTTGCTAAACACTAGCAAATGTTATGAAAACTTTATTTTCTTTGGTAAAATATTTTCGATGGAAATTGGTTTTCCTTTAATGTTTCTTTTGAACACTTATCACTTGGTTTCACCCTTGCCTCGGCTACATACTTTGATAATTAAGTAGTTATTTTGGTGGCAGTGTCGTCTAAGGGGGAAGATCGACAACAACGGATGCATTTCTTCTTTCTTGGAAGAGCGATTGAACATGGGTTTAAATTTTATTCTCTCCGCCGTGGTACCCATTCAATACATCTTGCTCTATATTGTTTTGTTAACCGTTAAGAATGTTTGTTAGGGCTGCCCCAAAATCACGACAGTAAATGTGATTGTGTGGGTAACCAAACATACACCATCGCAAAGAGAAAACTTTCTCCGTCTTAAAAAAGTTGTAAAAAAACCACTTTGATCGGGTGGAATTAGTTTTTCATGTAACTTGCCAAAAGAACTTAAAAACAAGATACACATGATGATTGATGATTGTAGTTGAATCAACAAATAATGTTGAAAAAAGTATGGAGTACAATTTATGATTTTTACGTGATAACCTGACCAAAATTCAAAAGTTATACATTGAGCAAACAAACATGCCAATTTTTTTAAGACGGATACGCGATGTTTTTTCAAGTGGTTATCGACCACCAAGTTAGTCAGCCAACAATGCTTTGCTTTCATATAACATTCTGATGTGTGCATAAAAATATGGCCTGCAGATTGACCATAAAAAGAAAGATTACAAGTTTGGTTTTGGGCTTACAATAGGAGAATAGTTTAGCTTGTGAAAGACGAGGAGCGTCTTTTAGTCGTTGATTCTTTCTTTCCCATTTCCATTAGAGAATCAAAGCTGACAAGTTTTGTATTCTTTGTTAGTTTGTTACACTCTAGCGCCCGATGCTAAAGGTCAGTTCCCATCTCTAAGTGACTGTCATTTTTGGTGAAATTAGGTGCCAGTTTTAAGCCATGGTTTATGGCAATGTGAGTTATGGCGTTGTCCTACTCTGTGTGTGTGTGTGTGTGTTTCTGTATGTTTAATAACAAGGTTGTCATAAAATCATGGCAGCTTATAACATAAGAATAACATTGTCTATGATTTATTTGTACCAAAATGTGAAGTTTGAGTTGAGCTCATATCTTTTGATTCTGGTGAACCAGAACCCAGCAGATACTGTGTTTGGTGCATTACATGTGATTCTATACTGAAGTGTTGTAACTTTTCTTTTTTCTTCTCCTTTGACTCCCATAGTCCCATAGGCCATAATATATATTCTTTCCTTTTTCTTCCCTCCCCCCTTCTTCTCTCATTTCTTCTTCCCCTCTTTTCTTCTATTTTTGTTTTTTTTCTTTTTTCTTATTCGCTATTTTTTACTACTTTTTTTCTTTTGTTTTTTTTCTTTTGATCCTTTTTTAACTCTTTATTTATTTATTATTCATTTTCACTTTACTCATTTCTTTCCTTTTGCTTTTAATTTTCTTCATTTTGCTTTCTTTTTTCTTTTTTTTCTTTCAATTTTTACGTTGTTTTAATTTTCTCTCTTTATTTCAGTTTGCTATTTTTTCTTTTGTTCCTTTTTGAAATCTTTATTTATTTTTTATTCCTTTACGCCGTTCCACATTTCTTACTTTTTTTCTTTGTTTTGTTTTCTTTTTTGTTTTTTCTTTCTTTTTTCCTTTATTAATCTGTTTCATTGTTTTTGTTTTCGCTCTTTTTCTTTCAGTTTTTTATTTTTTTCTTTTGAACATTTTTCAACTCTTTTTATATTTTTTCCTAGAAAACTCTTTTTATTTTTTGACACCTTTTTTACTTCCTTTGTCCCAATTTATATCGCCTGTTTTGCTTTATTATGTTTGACTAAAATTATTTTTAAATCATTTTATATGGAAAATGGCGTAAAATTAAAAAATAAAGAAATTTCTATGGATAAGAGTAAAAAAATGAAAATGCAAATAAGACTCCTACACTTCCAAGGCTAAAATACTCTCTCTGTCCTGTTTTAAATCGTCTGTTTTGATTTTTAGACATATTTAAGAAAAAAATAGAATTGATTTTTCGAAATTGTCATTACTTTTTAGAAGGGTGATTATAAATTAGAAGATAAGTTAAAGAAGGGTGACTTATTTTAAGGTACTTTAAGTATTTTATTTTTAAAAGTTTACGATAACAATTTACAGGTAACTTATTTTGGGACAGAGAAAAAAGGTAAACATGCAATTTAAATTGGGACAGAGGGAGTAAGAATATAATGACAGTGTAATGTAAGAGCATACATTGTTAGTGTCATAAAAAGTGATGACAATGTGATTAATCAATCACTAGTGATAGGCGGCGGCACTCTTGTGGTTGGCGACTATGATAAGTGGTTGGCAGTTGCAATGTAAAAATATGATAAGTGTGACTGTAATAATGACAATGTGACTTATTATTCCGGTCGTAAAAGACTTCGTACTCTTATTTGTGTGTTTTCATTATTTTTTTACTTTTATCAAGGGAATTTTCCCCTTTTAATAAATTTTGCTTACATATACTTTTTCATGGTCTACTTGATAAAATAAAATATCGTTGTCACTACTTATTTTATACTACGTATTACTTTTGATTTAGATTTTAAATATTCCGTAAATAATTTATACTTTTTATTTTGTTACCAAATTATAATAATAATACTAATTTAAAAGACATAATATTTTGCACGTTGTTCGAAAGAGAATAGATTTTAAAGATAGAGGGAGTATTACATTTCTTAAAGACATGCTTGTTTGTTCTAATAATACACCCTCTTTATCCCTAATTTGATTATCTTTTGAAATCATTTTATGTGTAAATTGGTATGTCAAAAAGAAATAAAAATTACATATTAAAAAACTATATCAAAAGTTCTACATAACGATTGATGATAAAAATATTTTATTTTATAAAAAATTCAATAAAAATACATAAATAAACAAAAATTATCAAAAAGAGAGAAAAAAATTGTAATTTATTTCAAGACGAAGGGAGTATAAATTGATACCTGCAATTTTGAATTTTAAGATTGAGCTTAGTTATTTGTTACAGAGTAAAATATGCGTTAATGTACTCCGAGGGTACATTTTGTCTACATGGCTATTATGATTTAAAGTTCTATTACTATGACACTAAATTTTACATTATATCACACATTTTAAGGACTTCCGAATATATTTTAGGTAATATAGGATCTGAATCGAGGATATCTCGAAATATATTTTAGATAGTGTGAGACCTGTGAGTTATTGTCAAAAAATCAAGAGTATCCGGAAGTAATTTTTTGTTCAAAAATGCTATAAGTGCACCAAAAGTGTATCCCAATGTACAATGCCCCCTCCATTACCATATATTTTGGCATGTGAAGTAAAAAAGATTTGTACACTAAAATTTATACCTCAATGGCATACACCTACATTTTGTGTTAGTATTTTCTTTAGGGTACGACTTGGGGTACACCAAGTGTACTCCTACCATTGTTGAAAAAAGAAATAAATAAATAAAAATGAGTGATAAAGGTCGTCACTTCTCACTCTTTCAGTAGAAACCCTTCTCTCCCAAATTTCTTTCTCAAATTAAATCAGAAGGAATTCCATTTTTCCAAATTGGAATAGAAGCTTATAGCTCGCAGAATAATGGCGATATAATCTAGATGCTATTAATGATGAATATTCAAGTGCTAATAATGATTTATATATGCTCATTACTGCTTACTTAACGTTATAAGCCAATTCGATTTTAGGTTTTTCTGGAAACCTTACCAAATGTGGAAGGCATCATTTGTCAGATTGCTGAGAAGTCGCCCTCCGGCCACATGGAATCCCTTGCCGGCGGGGGCGTCGACGACTGCGAGCAGGTGTCCAAGTCCGTGCTCGGATGGGAGTAACAGTAGCAGTAACCGCGGAAGCTGTTTCAGCGGGTTTAGATTGACCGGATCTAGGTATTGTAGCTCTGTGGTCGCCGGAGGATATGGGGACGGTAGAGCAGAAGGGAAAGGGAGTGTAGAGCTGGTGTCAGAGGAGGAGGCGAAGAGGCTCATGAGATTGGTGAATGTGAAGGCGTTGAAGGAGAGGCTAGGGATGGAGGAGAAGGAGGTGATTGGCTACTCGGAGCTGTTGCAGGCGTGTGAGAGTGTTGGCATAGTCAAGTCTCCCGAGGAGGCTGCGGCTTTTGCTCGTGTCCTGGACGAGGCAGGTGTCGTTTGGATCTTTGGTGATAAAGTCCATCTTCACCCTGATCTGGTACACACACACTCTCTCTCTTTCAAACCTAGTTTCAGTAGTTCGTCATCCATGGTGTTTTAACAATTACGCATGAAAAATGATGAGTTGCCACATCCTTGCCCCAATTGCATTGTTTATCCGCTTCACAGAGACATGCAATGTACAACGTTTTCACAGAATGTGGTTTGAAAGTGCAGAGTGCAGTTATTCGAGCTTGTCTTGAACCTATTTTGAATCCAGCTTGAGCTCGACTTCTTAAGGTTTTGATCTCGGGACCGAGATCGAACCCGACTTGATTCAAGCTTGATGTTGAACTTTGTGAAGTGTTGCCCACTTGAGCTCTCTAGTCACATTCAAGTGGCAATGTCTATTGGACTAAAAATAACATTTATGTCCTCATTACGTGTCGTGGTCAATTTTTCGAGCCACACCGAGTGTGGAATGTTTATGAGCAGAGTACTAAAGAAAGGAGTCAAGTTCATGCCAGGCTTGCTTGACATAGCAGCACTTGTGCACGTGTGTGTGTGTGTCCTTATCTCTCTGAAGGGTGCAAGGTTGGGAAACTATAGCACAACTCATAACACATATACAGAATGAAGTTTACAAAAAAAACTATATTATGTTCAAGGATTTTGAACTATTTCCTTTTGGATGAGAACTTACTTCTTTCAACTAATGGTTCTAAAATACACTCTCGTAGCGTCTTTCACATGCATTTGTTAATGATGTTCAATTTGGTATGCATTAATTTCAGCTTATTTTATCACATACTCCATACTTTGTATATTTTGGTGTTAAATGTTTGAACTAATTAGATATCTTGAATCTTCTCGTGAAGGAAAAAGTAGTTTGTAACGTCTATATTAACCAAATAAGAACATGTAAAAGGTCATTTGACTGAAATGGATGTTGGAATCTGCCATTTTTTGTAAGGAAAAGTATTTGTGACATTCATTTCAGCCAAATAAGTCAAAAGCTACTTGCTCTTTATTTTACTCCCTCCATCCAACTTTAATCCTCTTCTTTACTATTCACATGATCAAACTAAATGTTCTTTCCCTTCTTATTTTCTTTAACCATTTGTCAAAATAAAATAGTCAAATCACTTCTTGTTTTGTAGAATGTTTGATGTAGTTTTTAAATACTATGGTATATATATATTTTTTAAATTATACACCTATATTTGAAAATAACTTTTGTCAAACATCATATTTCCAAAAGGGAATATTAAATAGGGACACAGGGAGTATTTTTTGTATCATGGGACAAAGGGAGTATTTATTATGCACAATTTGCTTATCCAGTAAGCCACTTTTAGCTACCAAAATGAACCTAATCAGATTTCGTATCATGCTGATAAGAAGAACAAACCGGTTATGGGCTTATGGCTGCCAAACTGAGCCTTAATATATTATCATATCAATGCATCATTTAAAAGGTGTATCTAGCTACATGCACTTTGGGTGTCATGTAAGGCTACCTGATTGATTAATTGCTCATACTGAATGTTAAAGAGTGTATGCCATCTGGATCATCTAACATACCGTAGAGGATGATCTCAACCCTTCGATGTGGGGTCCATGTTGATCCGACAGGAATCCCCAAAGAATCCAAACCTGTTTCCTTCCAGTTTTGATCAATATGACTCTTTTAAAATGTTCAGGTAGTTCACCGGGTTAGGAAAGCAGTACCTGTTGCACTTCTACCCAAAGACGACCCCTGCAAGCACGAGCTCCAGAAGCTTCTGGAAGGAAAGGAGGAGATCGAAAAGCTTGCGCACAAACAGGTACGCCGCATCCTATGGATTGGTATGTGTGGTACCTTAGTACAGATAGGGTTTTTCTTTCGGCTCACATTCTGGGAATTCTCTTGGGACATTATGGAGCCCGTTGCATTCTTCATCACTGCAACTGGGATAATCATAGGCTATGCCTACTTCCTTTTCACATCAAGAGACCCGACATACCAAGACATATACAAGAGGCTCTTCCTTTCCAGGATGAAGAAGCTCGTCAAGAAACGCAGTTTTGACATCCATAGGTTAGCAGAGTTGCAGAAGAAATGCAAGTTGCCATTGGATGTGCCAACTTCCGGTAAGAGACGCATGGGAGTGAAGTGGGAGCTCGATGAACTTCTACATTAGAATTGAAAGGAATGAAAGACATCATTGACCCTGTGACATTAGTTGCCCACCCCTTGCTAAAAAAAATTACTATAGAACATGTCTCCCGTGACCAATTACTCCATTTTCGTGGAGTGTTTTATTTAAAAGCTAACTATAAAAATATGGATTCCTTGACCACTCATTTAGTATCCATTTCCTGTCTGAGGATTGGTATCTAATTTGACATATTGAGCTTAATGTAGACCTTACACATAGACATTTTTCTATGGATTTATACAGTTACAACTTGTTTGGCAAGATGCACTTTGTTACAATGGTTGAATCTACTGAATTTTCTGAAATTAAAAGTTAAAACATATGTAATACGCAGTAACATTCAACATCCATTTCAGCCAAATAAGTGTATCACTATTTGTGATTTGTTCTGTCCATTTCGCATTTTGCTTGTAAAGTGTAAACAGAGACTAAAATTGAAATTTTGACCACATACGGAGTATTTACTCCGCCCGAGTACTTTATTAATACACGGCCACAAACAATACTAATAGACCTGCACAAACATGGGTCTCGGCTGGATCTGGGCCGGGCTTGCGGTCAATTTTTGTCCATATATTTGGATGGGCTAAGCCTCCCTGCATAACTCAGGCCAACCTTCACGCCCATATCCGCCCATGTAAGTGATCCAAATGGGCCACAGGGTGGCATGGCCCACAACTTTTTAATATATACTAGAGTATTCTTTATAATATATAATACATCTTTATTTTACACTTTATTTCATATTATAATAACTATAATACTCCGTATGATTTTTTACACCTTACAACATTATAATATGAATAAAGGATGTATATTTTTATTTTACTTCATGTTAAAATGGACTATTTCATATTATATCATATCGTTCCAGAAAGACACATATTTGTATAATATATTGTGTGTAATATATTAGTATAATACAGAGTATATGTGTGTACATTATATATTTATATATATGCATGTTCATGTAATGTGGGCGGGCCTGCTGTTCCATGCAGGCCAAACCCAATGTCCAAGCCCATTCATATAGTTGTCCATATCTGCTTATTTTTAAGGACAAGATAGGCGGGCCGGATGGACTGTAAAATTTCATATTTTTATAATCTAAGTTTATACTCTATGCAAATGGAAATACTAATGATCAAAAGTTACATTAAAGACCGTAAAATGAGAACAAAAGTATGAGACATAGGGAGTATCACATTTTAAAACAATGAGAAATTCAAATTGCTCCTATGTTGTGCATTGGTTCAGTTTGTCTTTTATAGGCAAAATGGATAAAAATCAAATGCAAAAATGATTTCATTATAATGAAGAAGCCAAAGTGCCAAAGTATGGGACTATTTCGTATATAATGAAGTTCCAATCTTCCATGAGCCCTCCTTACTCAAATGAAAGATCACGGATTCTTAGAGCTTTGGTCTAATGTGTTGTTTAAAAGATTAAAACCACCTCAAGGATGAGTAGAAATGACAAATCCACATTTTAGAGTGACAGTATATTTTTAATAAATTAAAAACTACGTGGTTGATACTTATCCTAAACAGAAAAATAATATATACGCCAAACACCTTGTGATCCAATGACACCAAAGTAGCTCCTCCATATAGGAGGTGATAACTCTCAATACTTTAATATCTTGATAAACTATGTATGAACAAATATTACAATTGTAATGAAATAATTAGTGCTCAAAAAAAAATATGGAGCATATGTCATTTTAATATAAAACAAAATGGGCAAAGTAATATGGGATTGGTAAGAAAGGAAAACATGCAATGTGAAAATAATCAATTGAGACCAAAGAGGTTTGTAAAAATAAGGGAAGGACAAAAGCAAAGCCCTCAGAAATAAAAAGTTTAATCATTTTATAGTTGGTATTTAAATCAAGTAAACATAAAAGAAAATAACTACATATGATCTGGCCACTACATATTTAATGGCTAGCTCAAGATTAGAAAAAGAAAAACTCTTATAAAAGGGGTGAACACAATAATGTGAAAATTATTTCGTAATTTATAAACATTTAAAACACATTATATTTGATACACTTTAATCCACCAAAATATATGATTTTTTAAAATTTGATCACCCTAAACTCTTAAGTATACTTATTATAAGTTCAAGAGGTCAATTATAGAAATTATCAAAAGTGGATAGGTTGTTAGAGAAGCTTTTCATTGATCAATCCTTTCCGCACTTGCAAATAGATTTGATCACAAGCTTCATTAGGCTAATCTAAGTCCACCAAAAAAAACTTAAATCCATCAAAATAAAACATTTTTTTGTTAAATTTCTTCAATACCAGAGTTAAAAAAAACTTTTCATCACTAAGACTAAATAATTACAGATAGCTAATCTTCCCCCTACAGCCCAGTGCTTACAAAAGCTTGTAGAACCCATTCTTTTGGAATATCAAGAACTCACATTGAAGAGAATTCAGCAGATCGACAACCGATTCCTCAGTGGACCCGTTGAAGTGCTCCAAGATATCAGGAATAGACACCTGTGTATACTAAAGTTAGGGAATGTTTGGATCTTGAAAATGATTTAGCTCACATAAGGCATAACTTACCCCATCATCAAAATTCTTGAGCCAGCTTAGTAAACGTTCCTATAACACTTTTTATTTCAATATTAATTTATAAATAAAATGATTGGAAATCACCTTAAATAAAACTAAAACATAAAGAAAATTATCAAAATAAGATTTTTCATGTTTTTATTCATGAAATATGATTTCGCACTGTAGAAATGTAATGGTAATGTAATAGTGTACATGTGTATTATTATATCTTTTGATAATATACATGACCATGTTTGGTAATGTAAATGCATTTTAGCTCATATTTTGAGAATAAAAACATGATAGTCCTATTTTGGTATATTTTCAATGTTTTAATTCTACTTTAGTCTTTTTCCTTAAAATTATTTTAAAAGAGATGATTTTACACATTATTTTAAACAAGAAGATAAAATTGAAATTGAAACTGAGTGAATATTAAAACTAAAAACCATTCAATCGAGCTATTGAAATTTGAATCAAAATTAAATAAGAATACTCAAACTATGTCGAGTAGGTTTAGTTTCAAGTTCTATATTCACTCTCAAAAACGAATCGAATCAAATTATTCAAATAAACTAAACTTCCAACAATGCATCATTTTATTCTTGCAGCAAAAAAGGTTAAATCTCCGATCCCAAGGCTCTTCACACCCTTGTAGCAATTTTACCTCTTTCGAAATTGACTTGACTAAGAGCAATGGCAACGGCGTGCCATTTTAGCCGGCACACTGCCACATAGTATCTGCCTCGCACCACATCAGCAACTGCCTCGCGTTCTTTGTGCGTTCTTCCATGGTAAGTGAGGTAGCCTCAAGGCTGCCACACTCTATTTTTATTTTTTAAATTAGGTTAAAAAATTTAAAAGTGACTTTACAGTTTCTAATTGGTTGAATTGTGCCACATCAGCGTGTGACATTCCATTTCTTTATTTGCCATTGTGAATGCTCTAAGCGGTTGCAGGCAACAATGCATCATTTTATGTAAATAATTAGTCACGCATTTATGGCTCGTTTTGTATGTTTTAAAGATATGTTATAAATTTTAAAATCAGAAAAGAAATGATATAAGTTTTAAACTTTGAAATAAAGTTTTTTTGAAAAAAATTAAAATCATGATTTAATTAATTACTAGTAGGTGGGGATAGCCGGCAACAAGGTGGTTGGCGATGGTAGTAGTAGCCGGGTGGTCGACAAGAGAAATGTAATAGCCGGCCCTAAACTAATCTGAAGACGTTTGTTCCCCATAAGAGCACATTTAGAAAACATAAAATGAAACACAATAAATTGACCAAATTATCCTCCCACACACTCCAAAGTATCTTTTTTTTTTGTTAATTACTAACCTAGAAATGGATACTCGTAATTTATGAGTAATGATAATCTTGAAACCCACAAATCATAGTCTCACATAAAGAGCTTTCTATATTCAGCTGCCTCTTGAGACATTTCATCTGGGGTTCTGTCCTTCCTTTCCTTGTCCAAGTCAAGAGACTGCTTCAGTTCCTTCTCCTTTTTATCCAACTGAACCATGATCATGCAAGTATCAGTACAAGAAGTTGAAAAAAGCTAATATAACAGAGCAAAACATTGCAGATTTATATCCTTACAGCATCATAGATTTCATCATTTCTCTCAAAGTCGCCACTTTTGCGAGGCATGATGTGAATATGAACATGAGGAACGGTCTGTCCAGCCTGAGGTCCATCCTGTATATATAGGAAGAGGCAATGAATCAACAAATGAAGGTTCTCGGCAAGCAAAGTTTGGATAATGGAAATAGCTCATACCAACTACAAAACCAAAAATCTCAAGAACGAAAATTGTGTTCTAAAAGTTTTATTGGCCCAAAAAGAGTCCCACTTCATAAAAAACAGAATTAATCTGTCATGTAAATTTTCAAAAAAAAAAAAAGATTTTACAAACTACAAAGATTCTCACGATGGTAAATTTAGTCCAACACAATGTTAAGCTTTAAATATGCAAGTAGGGTTCCACGACTTTTAAAGAATTCTATCATGCTAAAATTAGTAGGTTTTACTTCGTGAAGTATAAAAGATTGTACATTGGCCAGAGTTTTAAAAATGCTGCAGTACATCACAAAATAATTAGTCCTTCAAAATGAAGGGTGCTCATGGCTTAAACAGCCCCATGTCCAACAGAACTCTAGAGGCTAAGCCAGACCAGCTATGCAATTATCATTATTTGCAAGAGTGAAGTAAATTTGACCAGAATACTAGGAGCCACCAAAGAAGCTTGTTTTTTATAGTAGAAAAGGGGATCGAGAAAAACATAAGAGCATCAAGTTGTGGGCTTGTGGCTAATGCTATACGAACATGAGTTATTAGTAAAGCTAGAATAATTTCTAGAGAAGTGACAATGATCACATCTCAAGTTTCTACTTAGGGCATGCTCATTCCATCTTATATTTAGTTCAGTTACACACTTTTCAGCTAGAAGTTAACACTAAATTATTCAATGTTTAGTTTAGCCCAAAAAAATCACTCTAAAAAGGCATAATGTTAGTTAGAGTTCATGCCTTCAATTGCTTCACTATCCGCACAAAATACAGGAAAATATTAATGCTACATAAGCTTTAAAAAGATACACATACTTGGATTGCAAAAGTGAGTGATGATGCATTGTGGTAAGACTCGAGTTGGCCCCCAATCTTTTGTGCCACACACCACAAGTCACTAGTCTCGTCAGCAGTGAGATCAACAAAACGCTTCACTTCACGCCTTGGGCAGACAAGCACATGTATGCTTGTGTTAAGCCAACCCAATATGTAAATTGAAGTTCAAACAGAAGAACCAAAAGCAATTTAATTTTTTTTCCAACCAGACCCCACTCCATCCATTCCCTCACCCCCAACCAAAAAAAAGCAACCCAAATCCCAATTCCGTTGGGGTTTGGGGTCAAGATGTACACAGTCTTACCCATGTGATAACAGAGAGACTGTTTCCGCTAGACCATAACTGCAATCCTGCATTTATTGCCCAAAACTTCATAGAAAGTAAGAAGCAAGGGAAGTATAATGTGTCATTTTGATTTAGTCCATTATGTGTCCTACACTAAAACATTGTTAGAAAACAAAAAATACACATTTCTTTGAACCATATCATCCATCATATACTAATGTAAAGAAATTGAAAGCATGTTTAAGGGCGAAAGTCCAAGATTAACCAACCATATTGTATCAACATGCCAGCATGGTATGCTTTATGGATGTGCTATCCACATATGCACCTTAACGCTAAAGCAAACCATACATCAAACTTATCTTTTTGACTCACATAATTTCACCATTTCAACTTTAGCCAATTGCAAAAACACATATCCCCAATGAAATTCAATAAACCACTTAATTAGTTGCAATGGAAAGGATATGACCTGCACATGGAAAAAACAGAGAGACAGACAGCTCACAATTAGATACTTTGACCTCAGAATACTAAGTTCACTCTGGCATTCAAGAAAGCAGGCGGGTAATCACATAAAAACAACATATTTGAACTTCTCACCATAGTACATAGATATACTGACATACTAGTAGATATGGCAAGACACACACGCTTGCACAACTTAATAACAATGTGAAGATAAGAAAAAATTTCTTTTTGAACAGAAGGGTGTTTGGAAAAAAACAGTTAGCATATACTACGTAGCACATAGTGTATACAGTTATTGTAATACTCCCTTCGTCCCAAAATTATTGTCCTAATTTGACATTTAGTTTTTATTTAAAATTAATATAATTAGAGTTTTTTAATATATAGTTTTGATATGTCAATTTTTTTAAAAAAATATTTATTTAAAATTATATTTAATTTGTGATCAAAGAGATCATAAAGTCAAACAAGAACAATACTTTTGGGATGGGGGAGTAGTTTGTATTAGAAGGTTTGATTTGCATTTGGCCATTCTCTAAATTCTGTTTGGTAACCTAGCACAATGCTCGAAAACAAAGCTAAAGTACTAACAACAAAATGTCATTTTTCAAAATTCTGATCATATTAACACTATTTGCTCAACATATGTCTAAGTCACAATGCAACATTACCAAAGACTTTGAATTACTCCGTATGATTTTTACATTTTAAAAAATGGCATTTTGTTCAAAATGCTGAAAAACAACCTAATGCTAACCAAAATGCTGTTTACCAAACATGTCCAAAACTAACAAAGAAAGCTTAAAAAATTGAATAGAGAAGCTAGCTCATACGCACGGACACAATTAACAGAATACACTACAAATTACCAGGAACAAGAGGGCGCAGGTTGACCAAAGCATATGAGAATTTGGTTGAGAAGAAGACTTCGCTGGGATCAATTTTGTACGGCCCGAATTTGTAATGCTCCGCCTCCATCTGCGATCAATCGCGCAGAAAAAGATGAATGAGTATCTTATTTTGCTCACTAATAAGTAATAATATACTGAAATTTCAAAAAAAAATCACACAAACAAATCACAAAAAAGGAAAACATGACGATGTTACAGACAGGTTTTAGGTTTTGCCTTGAGCTTTGAGTGATTTACAGACGAAGACGACGAAAAAACTCGTGGCGCGAGGAAGTGACGCGTATGAGCGAACTGATGGAGTGGATGAATAGCTCTCGCGGATGAAGATGATGACGGCAGGAAGAAGCAATGGCGAGAGAGAGCGACGTTGGAGATTAGCTTTGACATTCTGTACAGTCGCCTGATCTGAGCTTTGTGCTGTTGCACTTTGCCCTTTGCAGATTGTACCCCGGTCTGGATGTTCCAACCGAGCCAAGCCGGCAACAGACCGAACCAGTGTTCCTTGAGAACTTTTTTTTTGAAAAAATCTACTTAAATAGGACTAAAACATAATGACTTTTCCAATACAAGATCATATATTTTTATTTCTCAATGTAACCTTTGGTCATTATGAAATAGTCATTATTCAAATAACTTCTATCATTACTGGATATTATTCCTCCACTAGCTCATTATTAATTCCTATTTAGGGAATAAAAAAAGTTTAAGTCCTACATTAGAAAAGTCAATATGTTTTAGTCCTATTTAGTGTAAATTTCACTTTTTTTTGAAGGATTGAGAAACCTACTTATGATATGATTATTATTTTTCTCCATGTAAATAGAGATAATAATAATTGGGTGTTGATGGTCACATCCCACTAAAATACTAAGTTTGAAACTATGTTTCACATGAACATATATAGAATCTAAAAATTTTACGATTTTGGTAAAAAATACTTTATGATTTAAAATACCCATAATATTATTTGTAAAATTTGGTGAACTGAATGACTTGATTGTTTCATTGATACCGGGGGATATATATACAAGTTACAGTTACAAGCTCAATAAGATAGGCCCACCATGGTACAGGATATACATAAATTAATGTCTATACATAATATACGCTAACACTCCCCCTCAAGTTGGAGCATATAAATCAAAAATGCCCAACTTGGACAAAAGAGAATGAAAAAGAGGACCGGGGAGCGCCTTCGTGAAGATATCAGCTGTCTGCAGCCGCGTAGGAACATAAGCTGTGACTATATGAGCACGCTGTAGACATTCCCGAACTATATGACAATCGATGTCGATGTGTTTTGAACGCTCATGAAAGACCGGATTAGCCGCAATGAAGAGAGCAGACTTATTATCACAATACAAACGCGGAGTAGCAACACAAGGGACCTGTAAAGCGGCCAAAAGACCACGGAGCCACCTGGTTTAGCGGAGGCGATGGCATGTAGAAGGGCTTTGGGTTGGGCGAGGGAGCAAGGACTTACGGAGTTGGAGGTGTTCTCGGATTGCTCTAGGGTTGTGGAAGCAATAAATGGAGAGTCTATTTTTTTTTGTCTTATGTTGGTTCGGTTATCAGTGATTGTCGAGGCTTGTTATTTCAGTTTAATTATGCTACTTTGTCGTTTCTCCCTCGGACATCTAATGTGTTAGCTCATGTGTTGGCTAAAAGAGTTGTGATGGAGGCTGGGGTTTGGTTTGTGACTACACTTAATTTTGTACGGCCTTTTTTTGGTTGAATGAAGTGATTTCTTTGTTTTCAAAAAAAGAAACTCTCACCTCAACTCATTCTCCCACCTACATAAATGATTTTAAAATAAAAAATTTGATTCCAAAATCAAACTTTTACGTGTAATTAAATTTTGCAGCACGGAGTATTAAAAACATTTTTCGCAGCACGGAGTATTAAAAAGACAAAAAACCCCGCAATTTTTTGCCGGGACACCTGGGTCATAGTCGGCGATGGCGGACGGCAGCGGCGAAGCTTTTTAGAGTGGGAGCGATGGAAGTGGCGGCGGAGGGGCTGTGGGGATTGGCGGATCATCACGAGAAGAAAGGTCAGATCGGAGAGGCTGTAAAATGCTTAGAAGCCATATGCCAGAGTCACATCTCCTTCCTCCCAGTCGTCGAAATCAAGACTCGTCTCCGTGTGGCCACACTTCTCCTCAAGTACTCCACCAACATCAACCACGCCAAAGCTCATCTAGAGCGCTCAGTAAGTTATGTCTTACTTCAGTACTCCACTGTGCTTCCATCGCAAAAGTGATCGTATTATCCCAATTGCTCAAATGCATTCATCTATGTATGTTAATATGGTTATCTGGGTGCTGAAATTTCATGGTCCTATTTGAGAAATGAGTTATTGATGTAGATTCGAAATCAAGGTTCTTAGAAAGGGTTTGCGATTGAGTTCTGTAATATAGGTTCGGGTGAGTTCTTGGTTAGTATAAACTTTTAGGATGTGTTTGGTTGGAAGGAAGGGGAGGGAAATTAAACCCATCCCCTTGTTTGGTTGTAAAATGGTGGAGGGAAGGAGGCCTAATTTTTTGGCTTTCATTCCCTCCCTCCCTCTATTTCCATTTCCCCCAAATCGGAGAGAATCAACGAGCTTTCCTCTCTTGTCCGCCTCACCGGACACTGGCTTTATCAATTCCTCGCTGTGCTCATCCCTCTTGTCAGCTGCCTACGAAAAGTCGATGTCCATCTCTCTCTTTCGCCTTCATTCCTCCCCGTCACTGTCACCTTCTGTTTTTTAATTTTCTTAATATATACCTGAGTATGAAAGATTGGCTAATCAGATCATGTTATTAAATCCAATGGTTTCAGCTCTTGTTCCTCCCATCAGCCTCGGTTCCTTCATCGGCAATGAGCAGCCCCTAGTTATTGGCGTAGTTAGAGTAATTTTGCATACTCCAGTCGGACCTCCAAACAATGGGCAAATTCCCAAACCTTGTCCTACTTTCCTTTCCCTCCCCAACCCAACAAGGTGAAGGGAAACCCTTCACATCCCTTCCCATTCCCTCACATCCCCTTCCCCCAACCAAACAGGCCCTTAATCTATGTGTGGTGGTCGTAGACTTGAACCAATCAGTTTCTGTTCTCCCCAGCCAGTCGACTATCCACAGTCCAACCAGTCGATTTAATGCTCTGCTGCATTTGCTGGCCTATTAGAAACTGCCAGCAATGAATTGATTTTACGGTTTTACCCTAAGTATGATAGAAATCATGCGATGCTGCAACATATGAATAGGGCTGTAGTAAGATAGTAAGTAATTTGATCTTTTCAAGTATTGTGTTTCAGAAGAGAATTAAACTTTCAGTAGGGCACATATCTGCTGCCTTTGAATTTTTGACTGTTGCTAGTAGCAGTCTGCTAATATTGGTTATAATAACAAGTCTTTATGTATAACTATGTATCTTCTCAATAAAACAAGTTTCAAAATGAACAGATGTTGCCTGACTGTCGAGTATTGTTTTCTTGTGTCACTAGCCTAGCTTGCTTTTAATAATGATACCTTTACATGTTTCAGCAATTGCTTTTGAAGTCCATTCCATCATTCTTTGAGTTAAAGTGCAGAGCATACAGCTTATTGAGCCAATGTTACCATCTTTTGGGGGCCACTGTGTCTCAAAAGCAGATACTCAATAAGGGATTGGAACTAATTGCAACTTCTGAGGATGGGTATGCTTTCTTTGCCTTAGCTTACTGCATGTTCTTTGTTTCCATCCTATTAGTGCAGAAACTGGAGTGTATGTAACTATGTAAAAAATAAGTACTCCGTAACACTTATACATATAATACGTATAATGTTCAAAGAGAGTTAAGATTGTTTCCGGTTCCAAATACTGTTTCCACCATTTACAAGTTTTTGGATCCATAACAAAAAATTAGTTGAATTTCTAACAAATATTTCATTTCCATCAAATAAAAAAGGAAAACAGGCGCTAGTTTTAAATGTACTGGAGGACGTAGTTAATTTATCAGAGTTAAATGGGTAACTAGCTGAGTTTTCAAAATGTAAGGGGTATATTTAATGCTTTCGTCGCTAATGTTCCTTAGCTGGGATCACTTTCTTCTTTACTTTTCAAGTCTGTGTCTCTACTCTACGTATGCTGTCATAAACCAATACAAAAATCTCGCGTGTCCTCTTTTACCAGAGTCTGCTCGTGCACTGCCACTACTGTGTATTACATCTCTCAGTTCCTCTCTTTTTGAAGGTTTTCTGCAAGGTTATGGTTCTGCAATTTCAATTCTCAGCTTGCAAATGCTTTGATAATTGAGCAAGACTTTAACGGATCAATTTCTGCTTTAGAACGTGGGCTGTGTTCTGCAGCTGAAATGTGCTACCCAGAGTTACAGGTTAGCTTTTACTAAGATGAATATGTTCTTCAGCACAATGTCTTATACATAGTTTGTTTCAACATTTTAATATGATATATGCTTAAATTCTGTGTTTATATATGTAATATATCTGATATCTCACTGAGCATTTAGCTTGTGTTTGTGCCAGATGTTTTTTGCGACCTCTATCTTACATGTACATCTCATGCAAGGGGAGAATGCAAGTGTTGTTCAGGAAGTTGTCAATCAATGTAATTTAATCTGGGAATCAATTGAGCTAGATAAAGTAAGTTGATTTGTTATTATCTGCATGTTGGTGGTTCAGTTAAGAAACTACGGAGTATGTTGCAAATTTACAACATTTTGAGAGTCTTTAGGAAATGCTTCATAGTTTTGTTATTGTTACTTGCCTACAATTTATGCTGAACTTCTGAGTTCTGGCTGCCTTTTAGTTAGTACTTAAATTTGTTATTTTTGTTCGTTTGTTTTCTGAAATCAGAAAATTAACCTTGAATTTTTTGTTCTCTCTTGCCTGATACAAAAAGAGACAGCAATGCATTGGCTTGCTATTTTATTACGAGCTGTTGCAAGTGTTCTATCTGCTTCGAATATGTGACTATAAGAATGCTGCACAGCACGTCGAGAAATTAGATGATGCAATGAAGTCTGACTTACAGCGGAGACAACATATCAAGGATCTCAATGAAGAATTAACTGAGCTCAATAGAAGTCTTTGTGGTTCTGATATTAACTACGCAAACAGATCTGCTTTATCTCAGAAACGGGCTCACCTTGAAGAACAACTCAATAATTTAACAGGTTTGGGTTCAACCGGCCAAGAATATTTGGAACCAACACATTTTGGAAATGTGAAACGTGTATGGGGCGATAAGCTCGAATTGGCACCACCTCCTATTGATGGAGAGTGGCTACCAAAAGGTGCTATTTATGCATTGGTGGATCTTACTGTAATTGTATTCAGTCGTCCCAAAGGACTATTTAAGGATATTCTGAAGCGGATACAGTCCGGACTACAAACCATTCAAGGTATGTGTAATCCTAAAGGACAATCTTTTTACTTTGCCTGACTCTCACTAGAAACTCCTGCTTACATAATTGTATTGCCTCACTCTATGTAATGCTCCTTAAGTTAGGGAAATATGATATACTTTCAGAAATAGTTGGAAGTTACTGCTCTTCTTTAGGACAATTTGTATTAATTTGCTCCTTTTTCTAAATACTTTGCACGTGTAAAATTAAAGTGAGGTATAAATTGTATGGAGTTATTTAATGTGAGAAGAATAGGTTGAATTGATGGAAAAGTTGAGAAACATGGAATAAATCGAAAAGGAAAGAGTGCTAAGCAATAAGAAACAAAGGGAGTTTTTCTTTATCTAAGGCCTCCTGCCGGCCTAAAATCCCATGGTTTTTTTCCTGAAAGCATGCAATGCATTAACCTTTTAAATTTGGCTTCTTATACTTGGAGCTTAATTGACGTTTGCTGTTTGCAGGGGAACTTGAAAAACTTGGGATCAGTGATGGGGTAAGAGGTGATCTCACATCCCCTGTATGCTCTATTTTATGATCTATTTCAATGATTTTCTGTATTTTTCAGCTGACATATAATCAGTTACCAGAGATGAATTACTTGAAAACTGTAAGCAAACCTTTGAAAGTGAGGTTAGTGACACACTTTGCTAATATGCAGAGGCGGATCTGCTACATTCTGCCATTTGGATGGCCAGTGTTTTATTAAACATTTTGATGCAGTTTTTTGAAAATAAAGTTGCAGTTGATCTCACACGTTCTGAATTTGTTGACGCACAAGAGGTTTGTTATGTGTGCTTCTAGCATTTGTCTCCAAACAAGTTCTATTGTTCCTATTCATTCCACCACCAAAAATTAAAAAGAATACAAGCTCTTATTGAAGTCCTAATAATCAAATGGAAAAGTTTGCACCATTACTCTCAGAATTGTGTAATTTTACTTACATACTCTGAGATTCAATAAATGACACTGATGCTCCCAAAATTTTCATATGTTTACAATGGTGTTCTAAGTTTCAACACTAACATATGTTTACATCGGTGTCCTAACATAAATATAAACATTTATGAAGTATGGGAGCACCGATGTAAATACATGAAAATCAAGGAGCAAATCTCAGAGTATTTATGTAAATTCGTATGATTTTGGGTGTAATGGTGTGAATTTTTCCTAATAAAATATATAGCTTTATGGTATTGAATTATTCATTTCTTTCTATTGGAGGTCTAGTACATATATTGACAATAAAGCTGTAAACGGTAATATTTCTACTTTCTGCAGGGTTTGGTGCAAATGAGAAATTGGTTTATACGCTTCCCGACAATTTTACAGGCATGCGAGAGTACTATTGAAATGCTTAGAGGGCAGTATGCACATTCTGTTGGTTGCTATGAAGAGGCTAGTTTTCATTTTGTTGAGGCTTCAAAGGTATTTTTTATATGCGTTAGTCATAAAAATCACATTTGTGATCAAAGGCACTTTTTTACTTATTTCTAAATTGTCGCTAAATATGGCGGTAATTCTGGTAAATAACCAAATTGTATAGTTATGGAGTTTTTTTCAGGTGCAGTAAATTTGCATAGCTACAAAAAATCATCTATTCCTTATTTAATTAATTCACAGGTTCATATCAATGTTTTTCATAGTTTGTAGTTTCTCTATACTGATGGATTTCAGGAGAAATGTGAAAAACATTGATGATGTTTTAGCTTTTAATATATGTTAGTAGTATATTATTGACAAATTCCATAGAATGTGCAATCCACTAATGAAGCCGTGTACTTGCAAGAGTCTTAGATAGTTAGATGTCATAAACCGTTGTCATTTGGAAGTAAATATACAAGCATCTTTCTTAGAATCAATATTCCAGATCACACCATGAGTGTTGTTTTTTTAGCTTACAGAGAGCACGAATATGCAAGCTATGTGCCACATTTATGCAGCAATCTCATTTATCTGCATTGACAATGCTGAGTCATTTTCAAAGGTAAAATCATTTACGCTCGCACACCTAAATTTGTTTGGGAGCGAAAAAGGGAACACTAAATGTCAGGTGGAATTTGGAAAATGACAGGTTAAGAAAACAGAGAGAAAAATATAGAGGAAATGTGGAAAGAAAAAATTTGGGAGAAAATAAATCTCATTCTGAAGTTCAAACTCAATGAATTTATTTTTAAGATTGCATCAAAGTCATTTTATAATTTTTACCCTATATATTCATTTATATTCCATAAATACTACGGTAAGATATTTGAACATATGTAGATTTTTTAAAAACATTAATCATATTTAATTATGGAGGTAAATGTAACACTAAATCAATTTTTCTACTTTTTCCCTATAATTTTCCGGTATTCAAGCATAACATAAATACATTTGTTATAATGCTGATTTGAGAATATTATTCCCCTTTGCAAACAACTATTCTGCAAGCAGGCTCTTGAACTTATTGGACCAGTTATGGGAATAATCGATTCTTTTGTTGGAGTACGAGAGAAAACCAGTGTCTTCCTCGCACACGGGTTTCTGTTGATGAGGCAGCAAAGTGCACAAGAAGCAAGGTATTAGTGAAAAAAACCACTCTAATTTAGTTTTGGCCTTCTTATATCTTTCTCATAGTTGACTTGCACTGTGCTTGGGTTAACCTTGTTGCAGAGTTAAACTAGCTGCTGGTCTGCAGATAGCACATAATTCATTGGGGAATCTTCAACTCGTTTCACAATACTTAAGTGTGTTAGGGAATTTAGCTCTTTCAGTTCATGATACTGGACAAGCTAGGGAGATCCTGAGATCTTCATTAACCCTGGCAAAGAAGCTATATGATCTTCCTACTCAAGTTTCTGTACTATCCAATTTGACTGGTAACGATTAAACTTTCACGTTGCACCACAATTGTGAAATATTTCGTGTCTTTTCTTGCTATAATTTTGGTCAATTCTGTCCTTTTCATCAAGCTCTATACAAGCAGTTGGGTGAGGAAGGGAATGAAAGTGAGAATCGTGAATACCAAACAAAGAAATTAGAAGAGCTACAAAAGCGACTCAGACATGCTTGTTCATCTAATCACCATAAGGAACTGGTAAAAAAAGCACTTCACTTGTTACAACTTACAACCAATCCCTCTCAACATTTATGTCCAGTATACTACTTTTAGGGTATGTTTGGATCTCTAATAATGTTTGGCATTGCCCTTAAAAACGTAAAAAGATTTGATTTGGGCATCTCTTTAAGCGTCCCCCAAATTTTCTGTCTTTCCATTTTAGCGTTCCTAAATTTTCTGTCTTTGGAACTCAGGCTCTTATTTTTAAGGACTGTGCTAGGATAACCCTACAGATGACCCCATGTTTTGCACAGAACACAGACGATAATAATTATTTGTGTGGGGTCACCCATGTGGGGTTACCCTGGCTTTACCATGTGGTCACCATGTGGGGTTACCCTGGCTTTACCCTATTTTTAAATGCATGTCATATGTGTAGATTGCGAAAGCGAAAACCAAAGTTCCTGAGTGGAGTAATTGCAATACAAGAAGAACAACATCCAACCCTACTACAGGAGTTGATTTGGACATTCCGGAATCCATTGGCCTATCAACTGCTTCTTCCATCCCCAATTCGTCGTCATCAAGATTAATGGAGGTTGATCTCGGGAGGAGGCTCAGAAAGAGAAACATGTAGCTCAGAAAGAGAAACTGGTTTGGTCATGCTTTCATTTTATTTATAGTAGTAGGATATATGTCTGATGATGATGATGATGATGATTATGATGGTGATGTACTCCAAGCAAATTCACTGACAATGTGAATTAGCCGTTTGTGAATTTGGATGGTGCGACTCTTTGTGTTCACTAACGTTGTGTTTGGATGGAGGGAGGTGAAGGTAGGATTAGGTAGAAAATAAAATCTAGCTTGTTTGGGGAAGAAACTGATATAGGTGAGGGGGAGGTGAATGGAGGTAGCTTCACCGTGTAACAGTGAAATTTAGGCTACCGCCGATTTAGCGAAACACCACGGTCATAAGATTCCCTTCCGATGCTGCCCTTAGCAAGCCGCTCCTGAGATTCCTTTGCTCTCCCAATCCCGTCGCTCTCCGATCTCAGATCCCTTCGCTCACCAGCTCCTCTCCAGCGGTAGATTCTTCCTCTCCCTTCGATTTTTATCTTTTTTTCTGGTTTCTTTTCTGCCGTTTTTTTTGTTTTTTTGTTCTTTTTTTTTCGTTTTTTTTGTTTCTGCATTTTTTTTCATTTTTGCTGTGTTGTGGTTTTTTATTTTCCGTTTGTTTTTATTATGGTTTATTGCTGTTTTTTGTTAGTTATATAAAATTGTTGTTTTTTGTGTTAGTTTTTGGTTTGCTGTTTTTTTCTTTTTTTGCTGATATTTTCTGTTTTTTGCTATGTAATTTAATTTCATGTTTTTTATGGTTTTTTCTTTTTTTCCCGTAATTTGAATATTTATTGAAATATACTCTGGGGTACTATTTTGTTTTTCAAATTTTTTTAGCTTTTTTTTGCAATATGAGGTTTTCCATGTTGATGGCATTCTGGCCGGTGGATTTGTAATCGTACGACAATCGTGGCTGTCGAAGTACTGGTCACAGAGATGCTCGCCGTATCGAAATCCGATCATCCAAGCACGAGGGTATGTAAGTAATTTTATTGTTTACTTACCTCACATTACCTAATAAATACCCAAACACAAATTTTCAATTTATTACCTTACCTACCTTACTTTACCTATCTTCCATTACCTACCATTACTCAATCCAAACACACCCTAAGGCTTGGATTGTTGCTTCTAAATTGCTTTTAATTTTTGAATTCTTCTTGAATAATTAATTTTTGAATTCTTCTTAAATAATACCGTTTTTATATCGTACAAGTCTACACATTCATACAACAAATTGCGTCTTCCATATGTCCAAACTTGGTTCGCAGGATCGAAAAAGGACCATTTCTTGGAGTGGTGACTAGACTGGATATGTTGAAGACCTTTTTTTGGGAAAAGACATCCTTCTACCCTTTCTAGTGAGGTACATATTTTACAAGGTTATGTTAGGGTGCCACAACATGGGTGCTACCATCGGTGAACCCATATTTTGCTTAGATGACAATTGACATAGGGTGGTAATCCTTTGTGCGACACAAATGGTAATCATCTCTGCGAAGCATGAGTCACTCATGGTAGTCTCCATGTGGTGAGACCCTAGCATTTTTCTATTTTAAAATATATCAAACCTTGTCCTTTTTAGTTTTTTTAATTATAATAGATGAAAGTAAAATATATACACCCTCACAAAGTACTTCACTTAATAAATAATGAAAAACTAAAAATGCATCATTGAAACTTATTTAGAACAAAGTTTGTTTTTTAAAATGCATTTTTAAGAAAAATATAAAAAAGTGAAGATAATAAAAAAACATAGTAGAAAACAAGAAAAACACAGTTAGATGATTTTTCTTTATCAGACTCTTTTCATTCCAAAATAGATTGTATGGTTAGAATTACAATGTAAAATTCCACGTATTTTAAAATTTGTTTTGTTTACAAATTAGGATCAAATAAAAACTTAAACTTACATACAAAGTATTAAAAACTCGCTTATAAGAAGTAATAAGAAAGTTTTGTTTTATCAAATTATCAAAGACAATATGTAAATAAACAAATATTATTGATAGGTCAAAATAATAACAATGCATTCTGTTTACTAGAGGGAGTACAAAAAACCAAATAGAAATGAAGAATACGGAAAATTTGTCCAAAACTATTATTGGAAAGATACATTCTGAATATGAGACTTTTATGTTTGATTAGAGTTCATTTTCATTTGTCACTTACTTTTCATTCTTATCGATGATAAAAGAACAAGGAAAATGATTTCTAAAATCATTTTCCATCTTTCCAAGCTCTTGGCTACGAACAAATACTTGGACAACTTTATGTTGTTTCACGGGTAACCTCTTACAAACGATTGAAAATCTTAAATTGTGATTAAAAAAATCCTTTAGGCTACACACCAATGTTGTTTTTAAGGACCTCTTTCAAAGTCGTAATATACGAAGTAATAAATTTATGTTTTTAAAAAAAATTAGTAAAAAAAATATGTTATTAGTACATCATCTACTACGTATCACATAAAAAAGTTTTTTTTGTGAGAATTAATAATTTTTCTAATTTCTCTTTATATCAACATACTCATTACAAAAAAATATTCAGTTTTTTGTTCAATTATGTTGTTTATTTATTACCGAATGATTCTAGTTAAAGACTAGAGTGAAACGAAGAGCGTCGAAGAAATTTTACTTCCCGACCAAAAAAGAGTATTTAAAAAAGGGTAAACTTTTTCTCAATTCTAAAATCTACAATTATTTTATTGACATTACTATATAAATATAATTGATGAATTAAGTTTCTTAAAAACAAAAAAAATATCATGCCTGTCTTGTAATTCATCAATTATATTTATATACTTCATCTGTTCCTAAAGGATTACCATAATTTATTTATTTTTTGGTCAAACTGTGGCATTCTTTTGTCACGAATAGTAGAAAAAATATATATATTTACTAAGTGACCGAGGGGGAGAGAGAGTTTCTAGTAGCACCCCGCCAAGAGTCTCGGCTCAAAAACGTATACATTCAAAGCAACTATGCATTTTAAAGAAAATAGGCAGAGATGGGAATCAAACCACAGAACTAGGCTAGTATCATCAACTTTTACAGCAAGTGGGGAATGACCTATGAAGAGTAGTACATCATCAATTCATCATCACCATAAACATATTACACGCGTTTACCGTAGGGTAGGGGGGTGTGAGTCATAAAGAGTACATCATCACCATCACCATTCTCACTATCACCATCATCATCACAAGACATACTGTTCCTTGTAAAATCAAGTAGTCAAGACTATAGACACTCAAAGCCAACCTCAATTGTGACTTGTATCCCTGTTTCATATAGGTAACAAAGCAGCATAAAACACAATGCAAGTGTACAGTATATAAGAGTGCATCAAAGAATATACTCCAAGCTTGAGACTTGAGAGTCTTACTCTTAATCTCAAGAGTAAGTAGGAGTGTCAGACGGTCACTGAAAAATACATCAGCCATAGAACATTAAGAGTAGCCATCAAACATAACAAGAAGCACATTATCATGCACATTCCAATTTTGTAATTTCAGAGGACATGTATCATTAAAAAAAAAGATATGGTGCACTTACTAGTTAATCTTACTTCACTTTCATTCACTCAGACTGCCCCCGCCACAATATGTTCTTTCCCTTTGTCAAGTAACACCAGGCTCTCCACGTAGCTACCAAAAAATAAATAATGAAAGCTGTTTGTTCCACCAAGACGCTTAAGCTGCTGCTTCTGATGTTCTCGTTGGTGGCAGTTCAAATCCAGCACAGCTAGCTCACAATCGTGCTCATGATCCCTAGATTCCCTCCTCACACTTAAAAAAAGTTTCCCTTCCTTCCTAAGATCAAATACTTGAACCACTTTGCCAAGATTTAACTCTTCGTTTTCGTCAACTGAATGTAACACCTTCGTCCATGAACTATCTACACCGTACTCCTTCATGACCCACAACTCTTTGTGGCCAGGTGAGTTGCCCCGAGCAACCAGTGCAATGGATTCTTCATATTTAATCAAGGACATTCGATTTTCAAACTGAGCTAAAGTTTCAGGAACATTGATCACAAAGAATTTTTCAGTGCTTATATCAAAAGCAAAAATCATAGGTGAAAGCATGCCATAATGCAAAACACCATTCACAAAAACCTTAATCCCAACTTCATGAAAACTATAAATGGAAGAAGCACAATTAATGGGAGAAACTTCAGTAAGCCTCTTCCAAGAACGCCCGTTCAAGGAAAATAACCAGACATCATTGAAATCTTCGGTTTCACCATCAGACAGAATTAGAAGCACTTTGTAGTCATTTGATACCGAATCAAACCCGAAACCTATCGTATGAAAAAAATAGACCTCGCAGGCCACTGGCAAATCAGGCTCGGGCAAAATGAAATGTTTGTGAATGGAAGGATTCCACAAAACTATATTCCAAGCATCTTCCTCAACACGTGCCAGGCAAATCAGGCCATTACATGAACCAACAATCACAGGTTCCCTTGATAGCTTGAAGGGTAAGAAGAGCTGCTTATACTCTTCAAAGGCATCATTGTCGCGATACAAACCATAAACATATCTCTCAGTCTCACTGTCCTCAATGAAACTGAGGAGGAGAAGGCCGTCCTGGAGAGCCGCAGCCCGGTGCAGATGAGTGGAAATGAAAGAGGGATCTTTGATGAGAGCGTACCAGGATTTGCAGACGGCGGTGCATTTCACCGCCGATTCCACCGGGAGTCGGCGGAGGATGAGCGTGATGACTTCAGGAGGCAAATAGGCATTCATCTTCTTGGTTAGGGATCTGGATTCCTGAGGCAAATAGTCCGACATCTTTCTTCTTCTTCTTCGTCTTCGATCCAAATCTAAATTGGGGAACGAAATTTGATAGAGATAGAGATTAGAGAGTGGGAAAGTCCGATCAGAACCGTGATTCGGTAAATTTGCGTAAAATATCAGTCCTGTAATCCCACTAACCAACCCTTATTATTTAGACTTCTCTATAATTATTTTTATTTGTTTACTCATTTTGATTAATCATTTTATAAAATAAAAAGTTATTCTCAAATTTAAATTTTTAAAATTTTATTTTATTTTTGAACAGTGTAATTTTTAATTTTTATTTCTTTACTAATTTGTAAATATAATAATTTTAAAAGAGATGATATTTTGTAAATTGTTTGAAACGTTGCTTACGTGTTGTGACGGAGGGAGTAATTTTTTTAAATTATTAACCCCTTTGTCCTGTAATAATGTTTAAGAAATATCACTGAATATGAGTAAAAAAAGTATGAAAATACTAAAATAAGAGTCCAATGTCTTTTAAAACCAAAATAGGAGTATAATGATAGTATCATGTAAGACTCCCGTTGATACTGTGATAGAAAAATGGTGACAATGTAATATGTGAGTGTGATCAGTCGACCGTCAGCGATCCGCAACGGTAATTTGGTGGCTGGCGGGAATGAATGGTAGTGTGGCGGTGAGTGTGACAGTTACAATGTGGTGAGCTTGACAGTGTAATAATATCAGTATAAACTTCTATTCTGGTCTCCCATAATATTTTATGTAGTATTTTCTTTTTTGCTTGTCTCAAAAAATAATTTCACTTTTTACATTTGAAAACAAATTGGGATTATTATTACTTTTTTTCCTTTGCACCACTCTCAATAATACTCTGTATAATTATACTCCCTTTTAGGGGTGGGCACGGATCGGGACGGTCCGGATTTTAGGTTGTCCCACGTCTTGTCCCGTTATATATAAACGGTCCGGAACGGTTCGGATTAAAATCTAATCCCGGTTTGTCGTATAAAATTTGGGATCGGAACAAAACGGGACGGATTCGGGTCGTCCTACTTTGTCTTAATCGCAAATATAAGAAGGGGAAGAGAGTGACATTTCATTCAAAAAAAGAAACATCTAGCCATCCAACAAAAAACAATGAGTGGAACGGGTCCAAATAAATTTCAAGTTCATGAAGTTAATTTAATTAAATAACTAATTAATTAAAGAATGAGTTTATTTGGATTTTGGACTAGAATTAGTATTATATATTAGTAGAGTAGATGAAACGGGACGGATCGGTATAAATTTAAGCTGTCCCGCGCATGTCCCATTGGGTATTGGGACGGAACGGGTTCGAGACAAAAAAATTGTGTCCCAATATATCGGTACAATTACAAAATGGATCCGGGATTTTTCGGGACAGTCCAACGGGAACAGATTTCACGCCCGCCCCTACTCCCTTTGCCCATATCTTTGTTCTTATTTGACTTTTCACGGACTAATATAATATTTTAATCATTAATATCTTTATATATATATATATATATATATATATATATATATATATATATATATATATATATATATATATTCATACATTATAAAAATATAATATTTCAAAACTAAATATCAAAATGAATATATTCATATTAAATTTATATCAAAATTCAATATATTTTTTTCATAATTTGTGGTCAAAGTTAAAAAAAAGTTGACCACCAAAGTTAAAACATGAAAAAATATGTGAGACGGAAGGTGTATTTTTCTTAATTTACGTGTCCCGTCAATTATGAAACGGAGAAAGTATAACTTATTTTTATTGTAATAGTATCACATGAGAAATATTAAAAATTAAATTGTATTACATTCTGTTCATACACTCTCAACATAATGAAGCTTGTAGAGTTAGTATCCATACCGGGATCGAACACAAAGTCTTTGGCTATATATTTTCTTTTTGTTTGTCTCAAAAAATGATTTCAATTTTGATAAACTCTTGGCACTCGGTTCCACAATTGCCTCAAGTTTAGGAGATTCGAGATATTACACTTCATAATTAATATAACCAAAGAGCTTGTACTAAAAGAAATCAATGCCTCACGGGGGACTGGAGGAGAGTTTAAGTGTGGAGTAGTGGCCAAATGAACCACTCCAACTTCGTCTTCTTCTTCATTTGACTTAATTAAAAACAATGTTTTGATTAACATTAGTATTTTGAATTAATTTTATAAAAGTATATATATTAATTTGATATTAATATTAATCTAATCTTTCTATATCTAACAGATTAGTATTGAAAATATTAAAACTAAAATCTATTTCGTTGAATAACTTTTTTCAAAATGTTAGTAGTAAAACTAAACATTGAAGCCGGTTTGTCAAACATACCTATCATCCAAGAGAATCCTTTATCCTTTATATATATAAAGGAGACTCCGAGCTACAAGAACGTGACATTTGGCAGAGCTAAAGCGCGACATGTGGCAGAGCTAAAGCATGACACGTACAAGAGAATCCTTTATATATATAAAGGACCAGTTTTTTTTTTGCAATTTTTTTCCAAAAGCATACCATGGGGTTTGACCCCAATATCTCTTAGTCAATTAGATGAGTTCCTTACCATCCAAGCTAGAGTGATTTTTGTTACAATTTTATTTGACCTTTTATAATATTTCATAATTAAAAAAGGATTGTATAAACATTTCTTTTTAGTTATAAACAATATAATTCTTTAATATAATATTTGAGACTCCGTTTGCTAGAAAGTCGCCAAGTGTCAAGCTTATGTGGGCTATATTAAGGTGAGATCACAAGCCTTTATTGATTGTTTATGTGGCAATTTTTATTAATGATAAATTGACCTTTCTTTTTATTTTAAAATAGAAATTTAATAATGATTTCAAATTTTGGAAAAATTTTACTTAAAAAGATTTAGGACAAATAAAGAATTCATTACTTCGTGACATTAGTTGAGTTTTTATATTTTTTATTTTCAAAAAGCAATTCATTTATTTATTTGTTATATTGTGATAAAATTAATTAATTATGTTATAAAATCAAATTTGTGAAAGATAAATATAGTATTGTCCGAAATAAAATTATTAAAGGAAAGCAATTGTATAAAATATAATTTNAAAAGTATTCTTATATGAAAGAATCAAATATTTTTATAATTGATCCTTTATTTATAAAATTGATATTTTAATTTCTAAGAAACTGAGATGTGATGTTGTTTACGAGATATTTCTGACACGTAAAATATATTATAGAAAATAATAAGTTAATACTATGGTATGAAGTCATTTGGTACAATTAGTTATGGAAGAGAATGGATATATTCATTTTTATAATAAATTATTTCCTAATTATGCATATTTTTCTATTCAATTATTACAAAATTTCTAAGATCTGGAGGCCGAGAAACGCGTGAAGATTTGTGAAAATTAAAATTTAGATGCAAGGATAATCAATACTTTAAGGAGAACTACGAAGAAGATCTAATGTGCAGAAGTGAATAAGATTTAGGCTCCGCTACAACATCAAAGAGAAATATAATTTTTAAATTGTAACTCTTTGTATTTTATAAAAAATTATGTATTGACCAAAATACTTTCACACACTTAAATGATTTTATATTTAAAAAAGAAAGCAAAAAAATGAGTAAAAATTATGGAATAGTTTTTGTAAAATTTTCATTAAAATCATATAATCACTATCTTTTTGCGTTCGCATAAATTTTGAAATAATACAAGGGAGATTAATCATTATATTTTTAATGTATTGTAAAATTTATATATCTTATCATATGATTGTTAATTTATGTTTTCATAATTTTAATAATACAAGAAAAATGAGTCAATTTTTAATAAGTGCAAAGGGCGAAGGAGAGGAAGAATCACATTAATGCGTCATAGAAATTAAAATCATATATTTCCGTTAATGTAAATTAATCTAGCGGAGAAGAATCATGATTTTTTAATATTAAAATTACAGGATCGGAAATCTAAGTTTGTTAAATAAATGCGGGGAGAAAAATAATAAAATCACTAATGTTTTTGTCGTATATTTTTTGAATTAAGGAGTGAGAAGAATTATATATTTGTAATAATTTAGTAAACCTAGATTTTATATATTTGTGTGTGTGTGTGTGTATAATTTAGTAAACCTAGATTTTATATATATTTGTGGTCTTATTGTAAAGTTTTTAAGTTGACGAAAAATATGAGATTACATTCATCAACGTTCTCTTACGTAGATAGAGACACGCAAGATTTTTCTGATCGGATAATCAAAGTTGGAGATGGAAAGTTTGGGCAAGTGATTGATGGAACTGCTGATGTTGAAATTCCTCTCAAATTTTTGATTATAGATAACAGTTAACCCCTCAAAAGTATAGCGAATTTTACTTATCCAAACTTATTGGAGAAAAATGAGAAGTTATTCTTTTTTTCAAGACAGGGCACTACTAGCACCCACGCTCGAAGTTGTAGAAATGGTAAATGAATTTGTCTTATCCTTCATTCCCGGAGATGAAATGGTGTACTTGAGTTCTGATTCATCATGCCAAGCAGATTCAGATGTAGGTGTTGATGACGACTAGATAATAGTTGAGTTTTTGAATGAAATCAAATGTTCGGGAATCCCAAACCACAGGATAGTTTTAAAAAAAGGGGTACCAATCATGTTACTGAGGAACATTGACCAAACATCTGGATTGTGTAATGGTACAAGATTAATTGTTGACGAGATGCGAAAGAATGTTATCGGTGCTATTGTGGTTTTGAGAAATCGAGTGGGCGAAAAAGTTTACATACCCCGAATGAATTTGGTACCGTCTGATCCAAGATTACCTCTAAAGTTCTAGAGAAGACAATTTCCAATAGTCTTATGTTTTGCTATAACTATTAACAAAAGTCAAAGTCAAACATTATCATTTGTTGGATTATTTTTAACCAAGTCAGTGTTCACTCATGGTCAGCTCTATGTTGCTGTTTTGCGAGTGAAGACAAAGACAAGATTAAAAATATTAGTCTTAGATGACAATGGAAATCCTTGCAGCCATACCAAAAATGTTGTATACCCTGAAGTCTTTCAAAAAATTTGGTATTAAAGCAAACTTTGTTTTGTGTAGATTCAATTCCTCATATACTCCCTCCGTCCTATAATGATCTTCCCAGAGCACTATTCCAACTTCACGAGAATTTATATTTATTTGTGTTTTTTCATGGTCTATATGATAAAATAAAATATTCTTGTCACCACTTGTTTTATTGAACTTTTGATGTAGTTTTTAAATATGTATGTTTTATTTTTTATTTCTATACCAATATTTAAATAAAATAGATTGAAAAAACTTGGGATTTTTCTTCGTTTTGCGAACCGGGAAGATCATTATAGGACGGAGGGAGTATTATTCTTTTTACTTTGCCTTTCTTTTATGTGTTATTATAAATCATGCATGAGGTATATTTTTTTATTCCGAAAAAAATATTAAATTGAATAAATTCAGAATCGACAAGATATTCGCCCGAACCCGTGTGTGGCACGGGTAGGAATACTAGTAAATATATAGGGACGAGTAATTTTTAACATTGCATACTTTACCTTTTGGGGGTTTTGGCTCTTTATCCTCTTTTTAGATTCTTCCCCAATCACCATCAAGTACTAATAATTGCATTGAACTATACTCATTGGCCAACTTTGCCATTTCATTTCTTTTTTTTTGGAAGACTAATACCGAGTTTTTGTTAAATTTTAACTTTTTATAATTAAAATTGAAAGTTTTGATCATAAATTAAATAAGATTGAGCAAGAGTATTAGATATTGATATAAAAATAATTTTATTAGATTTTGCTTGTAAAATAGTTTCAAAATATCATTTTATCTGATTAATATATTATATAATTTTGTTTTAATTGTAGGTCAAAAGTTGATCCTGAATGCCTATAAAAAATCGAAATAATACAAATACCATGTAACGGAAAGAGTGATGAAAGATTACAAGTTTTCTACTTTGTCCGTCCTAAAATGATCTACCAGTTTGGCTTACGAAGTTTGATTAAAAATTATTTAATTATAATGTAAATTTAAAAGAATTAAGTTTATTTTAAAATATAATTTTTAAATGTCAAAATTTATTAATATTTAATTATTTTAAATTATATTTAGTTCGTAATTAAAAAGTGCTATAATTTGAACAAAAATTTCAAATTATGTCAATCGCGTACTAATCTTTACACTTATTTTAGAAAGTTACTTATTTTACCTTTGAAAGAAGAGAGTGATTTTACTCATCTGGACTAGGGTTTCACAGCCATCACTCTCAAACTTCGGATTGGATCCGGTCCAGGAGCCTTACGAAGAAGAAGAAGAAGAAAGATGTCTGAGTATTTGCCTCTGGACGTCGTCGCGCTCATTCTCCGGAGACTTCCTGTGGAGACGGTGGTAAAATGCACCGCCGTATGCAAGGCCTGGTACGCTCTAATCAAGCATCCCTCTTTCATTTCCAATCATCTCCAGGCTGCGTCTCTTCGAGATGACCTTCTCCTTCAAAGAGCCCTCCACCATTATTATTTGCGTCGAGACAGTGATGACCTTGAAGAGCTTAAGAAGTTCCGCTTACCCTTGGATTGTGGTGAATGGGGGACTTTTACATATGTTGGCACATGTAATGGTCTCATTTGTCTAGTTGTTTGCAGACCTTCTTGGGATATAGTTTTGTGGAATCCGTCCATCCATAAACATTTTATTCTGCCCAGATTTGCTTGCCAGCAGGTTCGTGACCATTTTCCCAGCTGTCTTGGTTTTGGGTTTGATGCATTGTCCGAGGACTATAAGGTTATTCTAATTGCGTGTGAAGCCCACGACCTAGAGATTTGGTTGTTCTCCTTGAATAACTGTTCTTGGTTTAGGCTTACTGAATTTTCTCCCAAGCATCGCTGGTGTGGAGTTAGGGAGCTAAGGCAGGCTGTTTTTGTGAACGGTGCTTTGCACTGGAGTGGAGTTTTGAATTATGGTGTGATTAGGCATGTGATTATGGCTTTTGATCTTAGCACTGAAAAATTTTACGTGATGAATTATCCAACAGCTTTGGTTGATTTTGATCATGACATCTCATTGATTAAATATGAAGATTCCATTGCAGTGGTTACCCCTCGCATCTTATATTACAATCAAGTTGAGTGCTGGGTAATGAAGGAGTACAATATAGATAGTTCGTGGGTGAATGTGTTACGTCCAATGGAAGAAGACGGAAATTCAGGTTTTGGTAAACACTTGATGGATGTATTTGGGGTTCGGAAGAATGGGGAGGTTTTAGTGAATTCGAGTGGGGGGCTTTTTTCTGGGAGCGAGATAGCTTTACTGGATTTGAACTGCCACCGAAAAGAGCAACAGCTAAAGCACCTTGGAATCTGGACCCACCATACTCTTTCATCTGTTGTAAGCTTCGTGGAGAGCCTGGTGTTATTTGACAAAGGGGAACAAGATCATGAGGGGCAGTTGGAGTGAAGGCGTAATGGCATTATCTAGTAGGGCAGTGAGTGTGCCATCTCCTTTTTATCGTACATGTCCTCTTCAATTACTTATTTGGAATTGGAATTGGAATGCATTTGACATATAGTCTTAGGACTATTCCTATTTAACCTGTGACTTATAATGTGCTCTTGTTTGCAGACTACTGTTAATGACTTATTCGTCTATGGATGATGTATTTTTCATTGATTGTCTTGCATAATACTTGCTACTAGGAATGGCCTGCGAGGTGTGGGGGGATTCATTGCAGCAGCAATGATGAAGTAGCGAGATAATAAATGCAGGGGAGATGGAGAAGTGTGCGAAATATGAGAACAGTTGGAGGGTAGTTTAGGAACATCATTGAAATATTCAACATACCTAATTATGTGCACTGCATCAGCTTACAATGATAAATTCTGGACAGAGATGATATCAAATAGAGAGCTCATAGAATCATATATAGTAGTATTAGTTGGTGCAAAAAACAATAGAAATAGTTTAATAGATTGCATGTGTTGATTAAGAATATATTGGAGATTAATGGAATGGAGACTCCATTAAGATGCATGTTAGGAATACCAATATATGGAGTGCTACTTTAAGTTGTACTGCTTTTATGATTTTTTTTTGCTAGAACCAATACTTGATTTTAAATGGCTTTTTTGATCCGTCCCATAAAATTCTTTACACTTTCTTTTTTCGGATGTCCAAGAGAATGTTCACTTGCTTTGTTTCTTATTTTAACAATGAAAATGTCATATGTGCCTCACATTACTTCTCTTTCATTTAAACAAATTATGATCATAAACTTTTTTGCTTTTCGACACTTTTTTTAAGACTTTGTGAAAGCCAACTTGTCAACTATGTTATGGGACGGAGAGGGTATCAAAGAAAGAGCTCATAGTGATGAAGTTGATGGTGATGATGATGTACTTCTACTGCAAGAGTTGATGGCACTAGTAATACATATGTATGATGATGATGATGATGATGATGTACTCTTCTGTTAAGTCATTCTCCCCAAATGTAAAAGCTGATAATACTAGCTAGTAGTACTGTTGTGTGAGTTCCATCTTTGCAAACATTCCTCCACTATTTCTCTTCACTTGGGTAGAGTGACCCAAACAACCTAGTATTCATCCCTCTGATCATTCAAAGGTTCTATGACAACAAAAGTTTGTCTAGTTTGGATAGAATGAATGATATTGGACATAGTAGTATTAGGTCTTTCAAATGTCCAAAACAAAAACATAGTATATGCATGCCTTTGCACATAAAGTTCGTTTCATCACATTGAACTCATCTACCTTAGCGTGGATAAACTTGAACTTATCTTTGTTTAGCTGCTTTAATTTAGGGGCCTTTTGAGTCGTTTCATCTTCGGTTCTAGTTGGTACATCTAACGCCCCTTGACATTGCCTTCCCGAGTTTTGTTAATGGTTTGGGAATCGGTTTTGACATCCGATTCTTGAAGCACTTTCCTTGCCACATTTCTCCTACTAACACTCTGTTAATCGGTTTTACGAGTAACATTTTGAAAAAGTTATTGAACGATAGACTTTAGTTTTAACATTTTTAAAATTAATCTATTATGTATAGAAAGATTAGATTGATTAATATTAATATAAAATTAGTTGGTTATTTTATAAAAATTAATTCAAAATGTTAATGTTAATCAAAACATTGTTTTCAATTAAGACAGATGATGAAGAAGACAAAGTTGGAGTGGTTCATTTGGTCACCACACCACACTTATACTCTCCCCTGTGAGGTATTGAGCTCCTCTAGTACAAGCTCTTTGGTTATATTAATAACGAATGTCTCATTTACACTCGAAGTGAAATATCTCAGATGTCGTAAACTTGAGGCGATTGTGGGACTGAGTGTCAAGACTTTATCAAAATTAAAATCATTTTTATCTTACTTCCTATTTTGACTTTAGTAGTCAACTTTTTTAACTTTGATCAAAAATTATGGAAAAAATATATTGAATTCTAATATAAATTTATTATCAATATATTCATTTCGATATTTAGTTTTGAGATTTCATATTTTCATAATGTATGAATATATATAAATAAAGATATTAGTGGTTAAAATATTGTATTAGAGACCGTGAAAATATTGCTTTAAAGGGGTTAATAATTTTAAAAAAAATAGTCCCTCCGTCACAATACGTAAGCAACGTTTCAAATAATTTACAAAATATCATCTCTTTTAAAATTATTATATTTACAAATTAGTAAAGGAATAAAAATTAAAAATTACACGGTTCAAAAATAAAATAAAATTTTAAAAAATTAAATTTGAGAATAACTTTTTATTTTATAAAATGATTAATCAAAATGAGTAAACAAATAAAAATAATTATAGAGAAGTCTAAATAATAAGGGTTGGTTAGTGGTTACAGGACTGATGTAGTAACTGAAAAGTTAGTGGTAAAACATCGTGGTTAGTAGTATTACCATACAGGACTGATATTTTAAGCAAATTTACCGAATCACGGTTCTGATCGGACTTTCCCACTCTCTATCTCTATCAAATTTCGTTCCCCAATTTCGATTTGGATCGAAGACGACGACGAAGAAGAAAGATGTCGGACTATTTGCCTCAGGAATCCAGATCCCTAACCAAGAAGATGAATGCCTATTTGCCTCCCGAAGTCATCGCGCTCATCCTCCTGAGCCTCCCGGTGGAATCGGCGGTGAAATGCACCGCCGTCTGCAAATCCTGGTACGCTCTCATCAAAGACCCCTCTTTCATTTCCACTCACCTGCAACGGGCTGCGTCTCTCCAGGACGGCCTTCTCCTCCTCTGTTTCGGTGAGGACTGGGAGAGATATGTTTATCATTTGTATGGCGACAATGATGCCTTTGAAGAGTATAAGCAGCTCTTCTTACCCTTCAAGCTATCAAGGGAACCTGTGATCGTTGGTTCATGTAATGGCCTGATTTGACTGGCACGTGTTGAGGAAGATGCTTGGAATATAGTTTTGTGGAATCCTTCCATTCACAAACATTTCTTTTTGCCCGAGCCTGATTTGCCAGTGGCCTGCGAGGTCTATTTTTTTCATTCGATAGGTTTCGGGTTTGATTCGGTATCAAATTACTACAAAGTGCTTCTAATTCTGTCTGATGGTGAAACCGAAGATTTCAATGATGTCTGGTTATTTTCCTTGAATCGACGTTCTTGGAAGAGGCTTACTGAAGTTTCTCCCATTAATGGTGCTTCTTCCATTTATATTTATCATGAAAATGGGAATAAGGTTTTTGTGAATGGTGTTTTGCATTATGGCATGTTTTCACTTATGATTTTTGCTTTTGATATAAGCACTGAAAAATTCTTTGTGATCAATGTTCCTGAAACTGTAGCTCAGTTTGAAAATCGAATGCGCGTGATTAAATATGAAGAATCCATTGCACTGGTTGCTTGGGGAAACTCACCTGGCCACAAAGAGTTGTGGGTCATGAAGGAGTACGGTGTAGATAGTTCATGGACGAAGGTGTTACATTCAGTTGACGAAAACGAAGAGTTAAATCTTGGCAAAGTGGTTGAAGTATTTGATGTTAGGAAGGAAGGGAAACTTTTTTTTAGTGTGAGGAGGGAATCTAGGGATCATGAGCACAATTGTGAGCTAGCTATGCTGGATTTGAACTGCCACCAACAAGAACATCAGAAGCAGCAGCTTAAGCGTCTTGGTGGAATGAACAGCCATGATTATTCATTTTTTGGTAGCTACGTGGAGAGCCTGGTGTTACTCGACAAAGGGGAAGAACATACTGTGGTGGGGGCAGTCTGAGTGAATGAAAGTGAAGTAAGATTAACTAGTAAGTGCACCATATCTTTTTGTAATAATACATGTCCTCTGAAATTACATAATTGGAATGTGCTTGATAGATACTGCAAGTGTTTTTGTTTTGTCTTGTGCATGATAATGTGCTTTTTGTTTTGTTTGATGGCTACTCTTAATGTTGTATGGCTGCTGTATTTTTCATTGACCGTCTTACGCTCTACTTACTCTTGAGATTAAGAGTAAGACTCTCAAGTCTCAAGCTGGTTTTGTTTGAATTTTTAGCATGGTTTGTTTGATGCTGGGCCAGAAGCCAAATATTTGTTTGTTATATTCTTTGATGCATTCTTATACTGTACACTTGCATTGTGTTTTTATGTTGCTTTGTTTACGTTTATGAAACAGGTATACGAGTCACAATTGAGATTGGCTTTGAGTTTTTATAGTCTTGACTACTTGATTTTACAAGGAACAATATGTCTTGTGATGGTTATGATGATGATGGTGATAGTGAGAATGGTGATGGTGATGATGTACTCTTTATGACTCACACCCCCCTACCCTACGGTAAACGCGTGTAATATGTTTATGTTGATGATGAATTGATGATGTACTACTCTTCATAGATCATTCCCCGGCCCCCTTGCTGTAAAAGTTGATGATACTAGCCTAGTTCTGTGGTTTGATTCCCATCTCTGCCTCTTTTCTTTAAAATGCGTACTTGCTTTGAATGCATTCTTTTTTGAGCCGAGATCCTGGGGGCCCCATGAGAAACTGCTTCTCCCCCTCGATCACGTTGGTAGAGGTAAGGTTTGCGTGTTCCTCATGTACCCTCCACCACACCCGACACGTGACATTGCACGGCAAATTTGGTTACACTGTGTAAAAGTTGATGGTAGAAACTGCCTCTCCTCCTCGATTACTTGGGGAGAGGTAAGGTTTGCGTGCACCTCACGTATCCTCCACTCTATATTGGTTACACTGTCATTCATGGTTTCACTTTGGAAAGCGTTTTTATGCCCTTAGATTTGATACCACACATAACATTTATAATGTTTTTACACAAATAGTGCAACTGTCTATATTCACTTACGATTTAGAGTGCAATGCAAGTCAAATTCGACTTTACTTGTAGACATAAAACATTAATGCTTATTTTACATGCCAACCACAAAGTATCTTACACAAAAGTTAGGGGCTTGTTGTAGCCGTTACTGGTTCTGTCCAGTGTGTGGGACGACGTTTCTAAGGACTTTATCGTTGGCCTCCTGCCCTCACGGGGATACACCGCTATCTTGGTCGTTGTGGATCATTTTAGCAAGTATGCCCACTATGGAACCTTATGGTTTTCCTACCACTATTGTATCCAATAGTGATCCCATTTCCTTGGCACATTTTTATAGTCTGGAATGATAACACTACTTCGAAAGTTTTTTTACGACTCTTTATTTTATTGCTTTTTCTTGAACTTCCAGATGGAAAACCTAGTTCAATTATGATTTGGACTTCTCTATAGTCTATATATAGAGTTGCTCCACCGTCAAATTAAATATCAAGAAATGAAAAACTAAATGGCCCCACTATTATTAAGGGCTGTTTGGATGGAACAAATCTCAGACTAATTAGGTTAATTTTTAAAGACTTGTCAAGTATTCATAAACAAATCTCATATTAATTTTCTCTGGTATTTTTTCTATAAATACTCTTTTGAGGAGAACAAGAGTTGAAGATTTTTCCCTTAAAAAGAATTAAAAATTATCCCTTAAATTAAACTCTACACCCGCAAAAAAACCCAATAGTTTTAATGATTTCAGATAATTATAGATGTGATTTGGTTTTCCAAAAAAATAATTTGGTTATGTTAAGATAATTTAAATATATTGAAGAGATTATTTTAAATGAATTTCATTTAGGCTCTATTTGGTATACAAAATTCAAAAACTCGAAATTGGGGACAACAATTCTAATTTTATTGTGTAGTAAGACAAAAATATGTAGATTTGGAATTAGTAGTGTGAACAATGAATTGGAAAGAGAGAATTCTATTCCATCCAAATCAATTTATAAAATTTCAATTTCCAATTCAATTTTAATGCCTTCAATTCCGTGTATTAAACAGACCCTTATAGAAGATTAATATTTTTAGTCAAATAAAATAATTTTAAAAATTAATATTACTTGATTTTACTTGATTGTTGATTGAAATTAGATTAGAAAAATTCACATCAATAGTCCTAGAATTGCTTGAATTTACATAAGTATACTTTGACATTTAATAAATGACACCAATAGTTTTAAATGTTTTATATATATTCACATTGGTGCTCTAAGAGTTGATATGTATTTACATCATTGGGACGATTTTCATGACATTGCCCAACAATGTCATAGGATGACCCGGAGACACTCCGGTGTCCCGTTAATAAAATTGACAGTTTCTACTTGAAAATGTCATGGGAATAAAAAAATAATCTACTCATATACAAAGCTAAAGTAAGAAAATGAATAGTACATTTTCCCGCCAAAATGTACGCGCCTATATAAGGGTCCGAAATGATGGCTAATGACATGGGTAATCGTGTAGCATGGGTAATGACTAATGACATGGGTAATTGTGTAGCATGGGTAATTCAAAAGGTTCCATCTAAAAAAATGAATTTCACTTTATTGGTTATTACAAAAGTTATTTCTTGCATTAATTGTTTGGTACCTTAGTAAGTGGCTTCTTCTCTTATTAATACCAAGAGCTTCTCTCTCATTCAATACCAAGAAGAGCTTTAGTGTGAAAAATTCTCTCACCCAATCTTGAAAACATCATCTTTCTTTCGTTTTTTTTGTTTAGTATTCCATTTTAGTTTTTGTTCTTCATTTTTTAATTCTAACTATCAAATTTTTTATTATTTAATTTAATTTCTTTTTCTGCTTTCTGATTTGAGGTTTTACTTCTTTTTTTAATTTTAATTTTAAAACTTTTTATTTTTTTAAAAATCGGAGTAGTTTTTCTTTTGGTTAATGAAATGCGAGAAACATTGAAGAAAAAAATAATTGTAATGAAATTTTAATTTAGTTATGTGTTTTTAATTTTTTTTTTATCTACTTTTAAATTTAACGTTAGTGAAATATTTAATTTAAATTTCTAGTGTAATTATTTTAATTAACATAAGTGTTACAAATTAATATTAGAAATTGAAAGCTAAAAGGGAAGGGAGGGGGTTGCACACTCTTGAAAGACAAAAAGAAGAAAAAAGATGAAACTCACGTAACACTGAATTGACGAAACGAAAAGAGGAAGAAGGTTTGAGAATGAAGCAATTGGTGTGCTTTTCTATATTTTACGGAGTAATAAATTAACTCTCATAGTTTAAATTTAAGATATAACATATGTTTTGCTGTTATGTAAAAGATTTTTAAAAAATGATTACTTGATAAATAAATGCAAAGACTAAAAAAGAACTTAGAGAATACTTTTTTTATGGTCTCTTTGGAAATAAGTTTACCATTAGCGTTTTGAAAAGATTATATACAGCCAGTTTTTAGCGTTTTCAAAATAATATTTTATACAAAATCCATATTGCCGTCTCAATTTAAATCAATTCTGTTAAATCAATTCTGGAAAACTTGCATCAGATCTTTCCACCATCCGACCCGACTAGAGCTAATCGAATTTCACTCTCAGAATTCGATTTGGATCGAATTTAGAGTCTGACTATTTGCCTCGGGAATCCAGATAGATGCCTTGCGAAGAAGAAATGTGTGTCCATTTCCCGGTGGAAATCATCCTGCAAATCCTCCGGAGACTCCCGGTGAAATCGGCGGTGAAATGCACCGCCGTTTGCAAGACCTGGTACGCTCTCATCAAGGATCCCGCTTTCGTTCTCACTCATCTGCAGGCTGCCTCTTTTTCCAGCGATCTTCTCCTTCTCAGGTTCGCTACAGGTAAAAGAGAATTTTATCAATTGCGTCGCGATAATGATGCCTTTGAGGAGTACAAGCAGTTCCACTTACCCTTCGAGTGTGGTGGATTTGGGGCTTTTAGACTTGTTGGTACATGTAATGGGCTGATTTGTCTGGGAGATGTTTATCAAGATTATTGCAATATAATTTTGTGGAATCCTTCCATTCACAAACATTTCATTTTGCCCAAGCCTGATTTTCCCTTCAAGAGCTTTTGTGATTCTACCCTAGGTTTCGGGTTTGAACCGTTATCAAATGACTACAAGGTACTTCTAATTGTGGCTCAGGATAATAAAGAAGAACTGATTGAAGTGTGGTTGTTTTCATTAAACATGTGTTCTTGGACGAGGCTTAGTGAAGCCTCTCCCAAGCATTGTTTGCATGCACATAGGGAGGCAGCCTTTGTGAAAGGTGCTTTGCATTGGATTGGACATTCTAATTTGAAGTATTGGATGTTCTCACATATGGTTTTGGCTTTTGATTTGAGCACTGAAAAGTTTTTTGTGGTGAACTTCCCCAAAACTTTAGTTCACTTTGTACCCCAAATGTCATTGATTAAATATGAAGAGTCCATTGCTGTGGTTGCCCATGGCAGTTTTGAAGATTTAGATGACAATCAGCTTGAGTTGTGGGTCATGAAGGAGTACGGTGTAGATAGTTCATGGACAAAGGTGTTGCATTCAATTGGTGAAGATGGAAAGTTAGTTTTTTATTCAGACTTGATTGACGTGTTTGGGGTCAGGAAGAATGGGGAGGTTTTATTGAAGGTGCGTGAGGAGTGTGGGAAAAATTACGAGCTAGCTACACTGGATTTGAACTGCGACCAACAGAAGCAGCAACTAAAGCGTCTTGGAATCAGGATCGATCTTAATTATTCGTTTGTTGGAAACTTTGTGGAGAGTCTGGTGTTATTTGACAAAGGGGAACAAGATGCTGAGGGGGAAGTCTGATTAAAAGTGTAATGGCATAAGCTTGTAAGTGTGTCATCTCTTCTTATCGTACATGACCTCTGCAATTACTTAATTGGAATTGGGATGTGCTTGTGAAAGAATAATATTCTTTTGTTTTTTAGGGCTGTTTTTTTAATGTTCTATTACTGATGTATTTCCATTGATTGTCTTATGTATTACTTTCTCTTGGGATAAAGATTATCAAGTTGGTTTTTATTGAAATATTAGCTTAATTCACTTAATGCCAAAAGCCGCATCTTTATTTAGTCCATTATATTGCATTTTTTTTATGCTCTTTTGCTGGTTACTTGAAATATACAAGTGATGTTTGATGTTGGATTTGACTTTTCTGAAGCAAGGAAGAGCACAAATCATCAAGTAATTATTCAGAATTTTTACTAATTGATGATCATCATTGAACTTTAAGTGTGAAAATTGTGCTTATGAATACCAATATACTATTGCTGCAAAGTTTTTAAAAATTAGCATCTCTGCGGGAACCAATACATGATTGTAATTGGCTCTTAGACTCTCCTAAGATTGAAGACACTGTCATTTGAATACATATCAGTTTTTGGTTTTCTCTTACCTTAGCTCAAGTATGATTCCATTCAAAAAGCCTAAAGTCTCATTGCTTAGAAAACTCTATAGCATGACTCAGATACATATGTGAAATGAATGCAAATAGTTTGTGACTAGCTTCTCATATTTAGAGTTTTTGATTCCTGATTTTGTGAATGGTTATGTGACTCGTTTACATAGGCACAACCCCAAATTTTAGTGTGTTTGGAATAGAGAGGCTCTTTTATATTTTTAAAATGCTTGTAATATGTGTAGATTGCGAAAGTGAAATCTGAAGTTCCCACATGGAGTACAAATATGAGAAGAACAACATCCAACCCCCCCTACAGGAGCTAATTTGGACATTTCCGAGTCCATAGTAGGTCTGTATATTGCTTCCTTCCCACGCTCAAAGTGGTAATGTTTTCATTTTTCCAAGGATTATATGTGTAAACAGCCTCCCTACTTTGGAGTAGGGGCAATGTCTGCGTACACACACCCTCTCCAGACCCCTACTGTAGTGGGAATCAACTAATTTGTTGCTGCTGTTGTTGTTGATGTTGATGATGTTGTTGTACTTTCCCTAACTCACTCTACTCCTTGCTCCAGAAGTTGATAACACAACTACACAAGTAGTCTTGACTGTTGAGTTGTGATTTCTTAATCAATCATGTGATTTGAGGTCCAGTTTTCTTCCAATATTGCTTTGACTATAATTATTTTTATTCTACACCAATTTTTAGTTAAATTGATTCGTAAATAATTTCAGTAATATATCGTACACTGAGCAAGAACTTTATTTTGGGACGAAGGAGTATTACATACTCTTATTAGAATTAAATAAGATCAGATCAAATCAGGTCATATAATAAATAGTTTTAATTATAAGTTTATAACGATAATCAAATCAAATCAAATTAGATTAAATTAGATCGTAATAAAATCAAATTAAACAAATAGAACAAGCTCTTATCCTATTAATAAATACATTTAAGCGTATTGATTAACCTCTAAAATTAGGGTTTTGCAATATCCACTTATATTTTTGCTAAGTCATTTCATTTATAATAAATACTCCTTTAGAATTGATATGCCTTTAATATGCCTTTAAAATTATAAAAAATTAGAAGCAACTCATCATTTAACACAAATTAATTTTGGTGATGCATGTTTTGTTAAAATAATTTCTTGTATTTTTAAAAAGACATCATGAGCCCTTACATTTTATTGTTAGGACTGGTGGGAAATAATTTTTTCAATATTTCATTAATGACAGCTAAAAAATGCAATTTTATCATTTTGTCATTACAGTAGTAATTTTAATTGCATTTATTTTTATATCATATAAATAATTTTGAGTTTTTGAAAAGAACACTTAAGTAAGGATTTGAAAAAAAAAACTTCATTAAAAAAAGGAAATTAAAATATGAAGACGCTGAACTTTAATAACATAATAAATCATTTAATGCAAAATTAGAAAGATACATTTTACGACGGCGATCATTAAAAGAATAATAAACAGAATGTCTCCTTCCCCTCTATATTCGGAAATGCAAAAAATCTCCGAATTATTTCAACAAAACTTACATCATCTTTTACTAATTTCCTAATAAAATTTAGTTATATAAAAGAAGGTTATATACTTATATATACTCCGTAGTAAAGAAAAAAAAAAGATGGATTTAGCCATTTAGCCAAATGGCTAAAATTGGTGAGGGTTTGTCATCAAGCTCGTCCTCCGGAGCCTCCCTGTGAAATGCACCGCCGTTTAAAGCCGCTGAGAATCGAGACACCGAGAGTCTCGATTTGGAACTAATAATAATCTGCAGATAACTCAGGACGACGAAGGGGAAAGATGTCGGACTATTTGCGGCTGGAATCTAGATCCTCAAGGAAGCAGATGCTCCCCTATTTGCCTCCGGAAGTCATCACGCTCATCCTCAGCCGACTCCCGGCGAAATCGGCGGTGAAATGCACCGCCGTGTGCAAATCCTGGTACGCTCTCATCAAAGATCCCTCTTTCATTTCCGCTCATCTGCAGCAGGCTGCGGCTCTTCAGGACGACTACCTTCTCCTTCTCGGTCTATGTGGTAGCACTTTGAGAATGGTTTATCGTCTGTATCGCGAGAATGATGCCTTTGAAGAGTATAAGCAGCTCCTCCCACCCTTCAAGTTTGGTGAATCTAGGGTTTTCGTAATTTGTGGTATGTGTAATGGGCTGGTTTGCCTGGCAGGTTTCGACAGTGATTCGTGCAGTATAATTTTGTGGAATATTTCCATCCAGAAACATTTCATTTTCCCCACACCCGATTTGCCCTTTGAGGGCCGTTATAAAGCAGCCATAGGATTTGGGTATGATTCGGAATCTGATGACTACAAGGTACTTCTGATTATGCCTCCGGTTGCCAACGAAGATTTGACTGAAGTTTGGTTATTTTCCCTAAATCGGTGTTCTTGGACGAGGCTTAGCAAAGTATGTCCCAAGCATAGTTGTTATGGTTTTGGCCAGGTGGTGTTTCTGAAAGGTGCTTTGCATTGGCCTGGATATTTGAATGATGACATGTTCACGCATATGATTTTGGCTTACGATCTAAGTGCTGAAAAGTTTCATGTGCTAAATTATCCTGAAACTTTAAAGAACCATGTACACGAATTGTGCTTGACTAAATATGGAGAATCCATTGCAGTGGTTGCAACTGGCATCTTTGAGGTTTCAGGTGAGGAGCAGCTTGAGTTGTGGGTCATGAAGGAGTACGGTGAAGATAGTTCGTGGATGAGGGTGTTACATTCAACTGGCGAAAACGGAGAGTTTGTTTTTGATTCACACTTGTTTTATGTGTTAAGGGTTAGGAAGAATGGGGAACTTTTATTGATAGTGAGAGGGGACCGTGGGTATGATTTCTGGCTAGCAACACTGGATTTGAACTGCCACACGCCGAACCAGCAACTCCAGTGTCTTGTTGGTGACATTGACATATATGCCTCATTTTTTGGTAGCAACGTGGAGAGTCTGGTGTTACTTGACAACGGGGAAGAAGATACTAACGTGAAATGACATTAATTAGCTCGTAAGTTCTCCATCCCTTACCACATGTCCTCTGCAATTACTTGATTTGAATTGGAATGGGAATGTGCTAGTGATATATATACTAAGGAAAATTTCTGTTTCACTTGTAAAGCATAATGTGCTCATGTTTGAAGGCTACCTGTTAATGACTCAATGCTTTAAGGCTGGTGTATTTTTTCATTGCATATCTTACATACTAACTCTTGGGATTAAGAAGACTATCAAGTTGGTTTTAATTAGGATTATTTATTCATCATTTTTGACAGCCCAGAAGGTAGATATTTAATTATTTGTTTTATCATTTGATTGATGCAGTTTTTAAACCGTTGACCATTCTCCACCACCGGCTACAATTGTCACAACCAACCACTTCCATTGCTCGCCAACCCCACATATCTATCACTTTTTAAATCATGATTTTAAATTGAGTAGATTCCATAAATCATCCCTAATAACATGTGATTTCCGTATTTAGTACCTAATTTTAAGATATTACGGAGTACATAAATGATTTCCGAGTTTTGAAAATTATTCCATAATCGGTCTTTCAGAGACTATATAGTAAAAAATTTTCGACATACTTGGCCCAAAGGACTACTTAAGCAATAATTTTCAAAATTTGAGGCTAATTTATCTAATATCTTAAATTTGGAGACTAAATATGAAAAATAACTTGTAATTAGGAACATTTATGAAATTTACTCTTTTAAATTTCTCCAGAAAACATCATTTAAGATTTCAAAATCCATATCAATCTTCCCAAATTTTAACACTTATCATATCATATCTTTAAAATTCACCAAACAGGGTTATCCTCTTAAGTTAAACTCTACATTACTATAACCCTTGAAAACTTGCCGAATAGTTTGCATGATTTCAAATTAAAAAAAACATGAATTGGTTATATTTTAAGAATTAAAAAACTACCTCTATCTCAATGTATTTTTCAAGTTTAACTTTTTTTTATTCAAATTGAATGAGTAAAAACTATGGAGTATCATGCATATTAGTATAAAAACTACTCTGTATTTCATAAAATTTATATTATTGAGAATTTTTAAATTTTTTGTCATTTTATTAGTATGCAATATAAATTAATATTAAATGAATTTTATTTTTGCAAGATAAATACTCATTTTGTCCTATAAAAAAGTCATTATTTCTTTTGAGACATTCCAAAAAATAGTTCATCTTTCCAATTTGAGAGAAGATTTGTTGGGGAAGCACGGAACAAAACACAACAGAAGCGTATAAAATATTTTCCCCAAATTAATGAGATGAATAACAAGCACAATGACCTCTGAAAAATCAGCAGCACACACAAAAAATGGAGTAAAAACTCCCAAAAAACGCAGGTCTGAAAGCGCATACAGAAAACAACCTTCCGGACATCAAAATGAGAATCTGACCGTTGGATTTGAAGAGGAGTATGTGAGGAACAACATACTAAAATTTGAGCACGATCGGACTTCGTTTGGCCTTAGATCCGGACTGAAAACGGGGCTGCTGCACAGTGTGGCGGAAATCCTGTTTTTTCTTCTTTTCTCCTGCGTAGCTACTGCCACTGCCTTCCCCTTTTCTCCACTTCTCTTTGCTCTCTTATCTCTTTTCTTTCTTTGTTAGTATCCAGCCACACAAAAGAGAATGGGCCCAAAAAATATTTGGGCTAAAGTTTTACACAAAAAATAAGTCCAAAATATAAAAGAGATATAAAGTATTGTCCAATTAAAATTGAACACTTACTCCATGTAGGAGGGAAATTTCCCAACAAGATTTTTTGACTTATATTTTTGTCTCTAATTTGTATCACTTTTATTTAAATAATTCCACCGACTTAAATTTATTTTGTCCTGAGTCAAACTAAAACATTGTTTTTTTTGGAGGAAGGTAACTTTTTTATTAAGTCTTTTGTATGGTCGAATAAAATAATTAAATAAAATTAAACCCTCTATTTATAAAGACTCGGTTTTTTAAGTAGACTTATTTGTAACAAGTGCCTGAGAATAACATTAACCCAAATCTTTATTCTATCTTCTCATAACGAGTATTGCCAGAGCATTACACTATATTCCTTGTGTTACGGTCCTACGGGGTGGTGACGAGCAATCCGTAGAAGCACGCAAGGAGACAAGGGTGCATAGGAATGCTCGTCCACGGCGTGCTCTAGGTTGGCCAAAGGATTCGAGATGTAAGAAGTTTATCACTTACCTCCCCGTCCTAAAATGTTCTTCCTAATTACTATTTACATGGTCAACCTTTAATCAATTTCTTTACTTATTTTGGTTAGTTATTTGATAAAATAATATAATCATGTCACCTCTTGTTTTGTAAAACTTTTGATGTAGTTTTTAAATATATAAATTTTATATTTTAATTTTACACTTACAATCAAATAAAATGAATTAAAAATAAAATTAGTCACATCTCGTAAATAGAAACGAGAAGAACATTTTAGGACAATGGAAATATTTATTTATTTGATTATTTATTAATTATTGTACTCTAAATTTTATAGAGGCGAACTATAAACTCTTAGGTTCCTCGTTGTTGTTTTTTTTAACCGTCACAACCTAGTTAATTAGAAACATGGTTCCTAGTTGATTGGACGGAAATTATATCGTACATCCTGTTGTACCGGATTTCCAGTACAATCGGCTAATTGAGGAACACAAATTAATGGAATGGAAGCTGCGGGAATTGAAGTTGCTCCTGTGTTTGCCGGGTCGGGCCACTGGAGACGAAAGACATGGAGCAGCGAAGACGGAAGACGATGGAGCAGCGAAGATGACGAGGAGCGATTGTGGTGAAAATCCGTTGAAAACAATGGAGAAGGAAGATCTAAGGAGTAGTGAAGGTTGTCGCATCGGTATAGACAGAGGTTGATCGAAGAAGAAAGCTGTGGTAGATGGGAGGAGAGGAGCCGGATGAAAACCCTAGTCTGGTCGCATCACGTCGGGAAAGCGCGGAGAAAATGTTATTTATGGTATGAGTTTTATTTTATTTGAGAGTGAACAATATGTTATTTAAAAATGAGTACTATTTTAATTTATAATGAACACTACATTATTTGTAGAAAAATATTATAATTGTAATGGATAAATGTGTGAAATTGAGTACTACATTATTTCAGAATGAGTACTACGTTATTTTAGAATAAGTACCACGCTATTTTAAAATAAATAGTTATGTTTGTCCGAAAATATGTACTAATCTATTTCAAAATGAGTACTACCCAAATCTACCCAGTTGTACCCTATACCTCCTTGATTGGATTCTAAACCGTGTGATAAAAAAACCTTGTGATAGATCGACCGACCATCATCCCCTTGTTCCCTTCCTTTCTTTGCCTTGAAGTAAAAGTTTTGAGCAATGCTAAGGACACACTTTGTGTATCTCAAATGTACACCACCTCCTTCTCCACCACTCATTTTTATTTGATTTTTATTTTTTATTTGATTTTCTTGCCTAATTATGGGGAAAAGAGTGGTGGGGGACAAATTGGATCCCCATCCCATTTTTCTTGGGTTCTAAATTCCCCTATGATAGATCGGCCGACCACAACCCAGGATCCGACTTCTGTATATTTCTTTAGGAATCCGAGTTTTTCAAATTTGATCTGAGTTTTCTGTACTTCATGGGAGGAGGATTGAGACAGTATAGAGAGCTAGGGTTTGATCAAATTTTACTCTCAAATTAGAATTTGGATTTAATCTACCGACACCTTACGAAGAAGAAGACGAAGAAGATGTCTGAGTATTTGCCTCCTGAAGTCATCACACAAATCCTCATAAGACTCCCGGTGGAGTCGGTGGTGAAATGCACAGCCGTTTGCAAGGCTTGGTACAATCTCATCAAAGATCCGTCTTTCATTTCGGGTCATCTGGAAGCTGCGTCTGCGTCTCCGTCTCCTCACAGCGACCTTCTCCTCCTCAGACTCGTTAGATACGGTAGAGAGGTTTATCAATTGCGTCGCGACAATGATGCCTTAGAAGCGTATAAGCAGTTCCTCTTACCCTTCGTGTGCGGAGATGGGTATTTTACAGTTGTTTGCACATGTAATGGGCTGATTTGTCTCGCAGATTTGTGGGATATCATTTTGTGGAATCCTTCCATCCACAAACATTTCATTTTGCCCATGTCTGTTTTGTCCTACGGGTTGACTTCTCTATCTACCCTAGGTTTTGGGTTTGATTCAAGAACAAATGACTACAAGGTACTCCTGTTTGTGCCTAAGAGCTCCTCTACAGAAAATTTGACTGAAGTTTGGTTGTTTTCCTTAAATGGGTGTTATTGGAAAAAAGTTAGTGAAATTTATCCAAAGCATGATTGGTCTAGATGTAAGCAGGCTATTGTGAAAGGTGCTTTTCATTGGACTACATGTTCGTTTAACTCGAATGGTGACCTCTTCTCACATATGATTTTGGCTTTTGATATAAGCACCGAAAAGTTTTATGCGATGGATTATCCCGAAACTTTAGTTCATTTTGCACACGAAGTGCTATTGACTAAATACGAAGACTCTATTGCAGTGGTTACGCAGAATTTTGATGACGGTCAAATTGAGTTGTGGGTCATGAAGGATTATGGTGAAAGTAGTTCGTGGACGAAGGTGTTACATTCCATTGACGAAAATGGAGAGTTAGTTTTTGGTGTTGAATGTATTGATGTGTTTGGGGTAAGGAAGAATGGGGAAGTCTTATTGAAAGTGGAATGGGTGGATGAGGATGATTACGATCTTGCTACACTAAATTTGAAGTGCCACCAACAGGAGCAGGAGCTGAAGCTTGTTCATGGAAACAAGGTGGAGTATGATGATTTATTTGTTGGGAGCTTCATGGAGAGCTTAGTATTACTTGACATAGGGCAAGGACATAATGTATGAAAGTGCTCTATCTCTGGTTTTGATTGAAATTCTCCTTCAATTCGTTTAATGCCCGAAAGCTAGATCTTTACTTATTACGAGTATATAATTTGATATGCATTATTTATACTGGATTCGGGCAATGTGTTTTTATGGTGTTTTTTTTTTTTTGGAAACAAGTGAGGTTGGAATTATTGGGATGTGTTTCTCTGATCATATCGTATCAGTTGAAATCGGCCTCTTCAACTTAGTCATCCTTCTTCTCTTCTATTAGGACCAAACCAGATCCCACCTCCAACTGCGCATCTTTTTCCTCTGTTTCAAAGAAATGTCATCCTCTAGATTCACACTTCCGAGTTGACATTCAACTGTTTTGAGGATGTAAGTCTTTTCCAAGTTTAAGGAGACGCCCCCCAACTGTTTGATGAAATGCTCAAATGAAACCCATGCGTGTTTCTTCCAATTTTGGGGTTCCTTTATTAATCCCCATGTTGTTCCTGGAAGTTCTAATGCCCGTGTCTTGGATCCCTCTCAAGACAGCAAGCCTCCCCAAGGTCACCAGCCTGGCGGCGGCTCTGGTTGCAGTCCCCAAACCTCTGGCAGCAGCAAGGTAGTCATGCTCCAAGTTTTGCCCAAGTTCTTGCCCGTGATGTGGTGAAAACGTTGTAAGTTCTCCCCCTAATGCCCGAGAAATCTGCCAAATTGTTAGCCACTATTTTAAAATAAATAAATGTTACTCCGTATTTATGTATTATGAATTTTTTATTTTAACTAAATAAATATTATTTTATTGGGATTTAACGTCCTAGATATCGTTCTTATTATGGAGTACTTGACTAATGACTAGGATCCTCCAACTTAATGTTCAACTGGAGATGTTTCGGTATCATTTAATGTTAGAAATCCTTAAGCATTATTAGAGCATCTACTATAATTAGTGTTAACAATGGTAACTAGGGGTGGACACGGTACGGTTCCGGGACGGTTCCGGTACCGCCACCCCTTGGTACCGGTACCGGTACCGGACCGGCCGGTACCGGTTCTGGTACCGTTTCGGCCACCCCTAATTTTGTTTTTTTTTTGCTTTTTTATTATATTTTTAAAATGTAAAATTGTAAATGTGTAATTGTTAAAGGAAATGATGAAATAAAAAAATCTAAAAATGAAATTGATAAAGGAAAGAATGAAATAAAAAAATAAAAAAATAAAAATAAATAACGGTACCGGAACCGCCGGTGCCGGTACCGAAAAATGGGCACCGGAACCGGTACCGGATTGGGCGGTACCGGTACCGGTTCCCGGAACCGGTGGACCGTACCGGCCGACGGTAACGGTACCGGAACCGGCGGTACCGTTTCCGGTACCGGTATTGTACCGGTACCGTGTCCACCCCTAATGGTAACACTCTTAGAACTGTTGACCGCCGACTACAATTGTCACCGCCAACCACCCCGCTGTCAGTCACCCTCTTCTATCAATAATTAAATCATAATTTTAAAACGGTCAAACAATTTCTTTTTAGATTTCAAAACCTATATCATTTTTACCTAGTTTCAAAACTAAGATCTTAACATAGAAAAAAATATCAAAATAAGAGTTTCATTTGTTATCTCAAGAATACTCGCATTGTGGCAATGTGACAATTAATATGGATATTTCAAAACATTTTTTGTTAATGTATATGGTCATGATTAACACTATAAATACCCCGGAGTATATTTTAACGGGATATGCTAGGGGTACACCAAAAGTGTACCCCAAATGTACACCATCTCTCTCTTTACCATTCATTTTATTTTATTTTTAATTTTATTTTTTTTTAACTTTTCTTGCTTTTTTTGTGTGGTAATGGAGGGGGTAGGGGATGTTTGAGGTACACTTTTGGTGTACCCCTAGCATTTTCCTTCTCCAAAATGTAAGCATAGGATATTTTGGGATACAAGCTAAGGGTATGTTTGTTGATGAAAACAGATATGAGTTTTGATATCTCCAAATTTCAAAATTCTTTTTAGTGCTTTGTGAATCAAAAAGAAATATCATAGTTTTGAATAGGAGAATTTCAATATCTTCTAAATTTAAAAAATATCGATAATTAAATTTTAAATCTCTCAAAATAATTTATTTTCAGATTTCAAAATCACTTCAAAACTTAAATCTTAACATACTCTCAAAGCTCGGCGTTAAGTAATCTACCGGCCTCAACAGATCTACCGGCCTCCCACTTTCTCCGGATATAATCCAAGAAGAAGAAGAAGAAGAAGAAGAAGATGTCTGACTATTTGGGGAAGAGGAAGATGTCAAACTATTTGCCTCCTGAAATCATCACGCTCATCCTCCGGAGACTCCCTGTGAAATCGGCGGTGAAATGCACCGCCGTTTGCAAGACCTGGCACGCTCTCATCAAGCATCCCTCTTTCATTTCCAATCATCTGCACCAGGCTGTGTCTCTTCGCGACGATATTCTCCTTCTCCGATTCACTAGAGATAAAAAAGAATTTTATCAATTGCGTCGCGATAATGATGCCTTTGAGGAGTACAAGCAGTTCCATGTACCCTTCGAGTGTGGTGGATTTGGGGTTTTTAGAATTGCTGGTACATGTAATGGGCTGATTTGTCTCGCAGATATTTGGAGCAATTCTTGCAATTTAATTTTATGGAATCCTTCCATTCATAAGCATTTCACTTTGCCCAAGATTGATTTCACCTACATTCTACCTGATGAAACCTTCCTAGGTTTTGGGTTTGATTCGGCATCTGGTGACTACAAGGTACTTGTAGTTGTGGCTCAGGATTACGACGAAGATTTGACTGAAGTTTGGTTGTTTTCCTTAAACCGGAATTCTTGGACGAGGCTTGGTGAAGTTTGTCCCAAGCATAGTTGTGGTGGAGTTAGGGAGGCAGCTTTTGTGAGAGGTGTTTTGCATTGGCCTGGATTTCTGCATCGTCGCTTCTTCTCAAATATGATTTTGGCTTTTGATTTGAGCACCGAAAAGTTTCACGTGATGAATTATCCCAAAACTTTAGTTCAGTTTGTACCTCAAATGTCCTTGATCAAATATGAAGAATCCATTGCAGTGGTTACAAGTGGAAGCGCTGAAGACTTTGACGAGCAACTTGAGTTGTGGGTCATGAAAGAATACGGTGTAGACAGTTCTTGGACTATGGTGTTGCATTGTATTGACGAAAATGGAAAGTTTGTTTTTGATGCAAGCTTGCATCATGTGTTCGGGGTTAGGAAGAACGGGGAAGTTTTATTGACAGTGTATGGGAAGGATAATGAGAAGGAGCTAGCTACACTGAATTTGAACTGCCACCAACAGGAACATAAGCAGCAGCTGAAGTGTCTAATTGGAAAAGGGAACGGTCTTTATGATGTGTTTGTCGGTAGCTACTTGGAGAGCCTGGTATTACTTGACAAAGGGGAAAAAGATATCGAGGGGCAGTCTGAATCTGAATGAAAGTGAAATGACATTAGCTAGTAAGTGCAACATCTCTTCTTTTTCGTATATTTCCTCTGCAACTACTTAACTGGAAATGGAATTAGTTTGATATACTATCCTAGGAGTATTTCTGTTTCGACTTGTGAAAGATAATGTGGTCTCGTTAGAAGGCTCATGTTAATGTTCTATGGCAGACATATTTTCCTTTAATTGTCTTACATAATACTTGTTATGTTGGATGCTTGTAATGCCTTTTTATGCTATTCTGCTACGGAGTAGTTACTTCTGATATATACAAGTGATGTTTGAGGTTTGTTTGGGTTTATGGAACTGCACAAGAGTGCAAATTGTCAAGCAACTATTATTGGGATTTTTACGAATTGGTGATCACCATCGAGAACTGTAGATGTGAAAATCGTGTGTACGGATTTAAGAATAGCAACATACTTATGTTACGGATTAGCATTAGTTACCCAACTTAAATAATTATTGGCTTTCTTAGACTTTGCTAGGATTGAAGAGAACATCGAAATGTTTGGTTTTGTGTAGATGCAATTTGAATAAATATTCTTTCTCGTTTTATGTTACCTTAGCTCAAGTAAGTATGGTTCAATTCAAACATCCTCAAGTCTCATTGATATCCATTGATAGTCTACTCTTAGCAAACACAAATATAGTTTAAACTTTTATTGCTTCTTATTCCCTTTCTCCAAATTTAAATTACCTGTTTCATATTTATGATTTTTAATATGCAACACTTTAGTTGTGGATAGCTAACTATATCTCTACATTGAGGCATATAATATAAAAATATACTCCGTACCATTTTTTCAAGCTACATTTCAAGATGGATCTGATGTTATTTAACTCAAGTAATAAACTAATAACTATCATACTTCATCTACAAAATTGGATTGAAGGAGCATGTAAATTATGACCAAAAAAACTCAAACATGCAAAATAGATGTGAAAGAAGATGGCACTTTTTCTATGAAGTGTTGGGCAGAAGAGTATAATTGCGATTGTCATCTCGGCCTAATTTTCTTCCAAACTTGCTTTGTCTATATTCATCTTGAGCCAAGGCCTGAGGGTCGGCTCGAAAACACTTCTCCCCACTTGGGTAGATGGTAGTGTGGCACTACTATGGTGATACTCGTCTTCCGTGAGGATCAAATGGCCAAGCTTAGGGCGCGCTTTCGCAGCCGTTTGCCAGAGGAGGAAAAGGAGCATGAGAAGGAGAACTAGGGTTTGGGGAAGTTTGGTGTATTATTATTATGTCCTCTCATGGAGTAGTACACCTCTGAAATAGAGTTCAAGAGTCCCCGACCTAAAAAAAATACTAGTTTGCTATCCTGTCGGTTCAAGAAAATCATCGAGGTAAAGAACTGAAAAGAAACGTTCAAAGGAGCCTATCAGATCGCTCGCCTAATAAAAATCTAAATTACAAGAACCATACGACTTGGCGGCCCAAATTCCTCTTAGGACGATCACGCTCCGGCTCCCTTTCGGATCCGTCCTCGACCTCCCCGGTTTGGGCCGTTGTGTGTACTGTATCATGTGGCCCCATACCTAATAGCCAAGGCCGACCCGCTCAAAATGTTCTTCCTAAAAACAAAGTTAACAATCAAACAGCGACCAAAATGCATTTAAACAAACAGACTCTCCTGTGCGTCCTTCTCAACCACATCTCATGTAGAAACATTTCATTTCTCCCAAGTACAGAGTAGTAGAAATACACCTTAGAAATGAGATGATTATATCAGTTTAACAAACAATTAACAAAAATAAAGAAAAATAGTTAATTAATTTGGGATGGAAGGAATATATGCCGCAAAGATCCACCAAGAACCTTCTCATATAAACAAAGAGAAAAATGTACCCTTTGCCTCCGGATTCTTTTGAAATTACACGATTTACTCTTGAACATTAATAAGTGTACCAAATACTCCTAAATTCTTCAAAAATTACACGATTTATCAATGAACATTAAAAAATGCATCAAATACCACTGAACTCTTCAGAAATTGTACGGTTTGGCACTGAACATTTAAATAAAGGTGATAATTTTGGGGAAGGTTACTTTGAAAAATTCACAAGGGACAAATGAATCATACTCGCAATTCCTATATACGAGAGTAACGCACTCCCTATCTAGCATTTTAGGACCAACAGTGCAATGTTTTAAATTATTTAGGGTTAGTGTCTGGCAACTAGCATTTCATTTTAATTGATGTATTTCAATTCTAAAATTTGAAATCCTAGATTTCAAATGATAAAGGGATGTGCATGGATTTTAAATTAAGCTTTATTATGAATGAATAGAATTTGACTCAAATCCAAATTCAAAATGTTTATGCTTCCCAAACATAGAATTTGAGCCAAATCCGGATTAAAAGAAATTCGAAAGTATTCTAGAAATGGACAATATAAAATTGTGAATGAAAAAGAATAAAGATGAAAAGTTTAATAAGAAAAATTAAAGTAGGATTGAATACATTTATTACGGAGTAGTAATAAAAAATTGTGAATGAAAAAGAATAAAGATGAAAAGTTTAATAAGAAAAATTAAAGTAGGATTAATACACACACATGACACATCAAATGGGTGAAGAAGGGGATAATTAATGGAGGGAGCTCCCTTCAGTCCAATCTGAGATATAGGAAGGGTGAAATCAGTCTCCCGCATCATTCACTCATTCCCAGCAGTCTCTTAGCTATATATCACATCTGCTGTGTTTGAATAAATGAGTCGGGAGCTAATTCAAACCCTTCCTTGTTCAGATTGGACCGAAAGAAACTCCCTCTCTCTCTCTATCTGATTGCCACATTCTACATTATTCGGGCATGTTTGGGAATATCGATAAAGACTGACATTAGCATTTTAGATAAAAAATTTAACGGTGCAGATTGTTTTAAAAACGTTAATGCTAAATGTTGTCCGTAGATAATTTTTTCAAAACTCTAACGTTAATCTCTAACACTATTTCCAAACATGTCCTTCATCTTCTTCAAGAGAAAAGATTAAAACAAACCTCGGATGGGAGTACGAGAGAAATACATTTGGTATATGAGGAGAAGTTGTGAGAGATGGAGAGAGGCATCAGGTGATGTATTTATAGTGGAAGCTAAGGAAAGAACAGCTAGCCATGCATTCCATTGGCATTTTGAAATAAAGGTACCCTAATGAACCATCAAAAAAAAAGGGTACCCTAAGGAAGGACTCTAGGAAGTAGTATCTTGGAGAGAGAGACTAATTGATTTATTTTGCACAACTTATTAACTCTTCAAATATAATACTAACTCCTCCTCAACTTCAATTTTTAAAAATGTTTCATGAATGGTCCTTCCACGCGATTTCAAGCACGTTAACCATACGGTCAAATATACCTGTTAGAGCTTTATTAAATAATGTTTAAAATAATGTTTAAGAAAACTTATTGTAGAGCTCGCGCATGATATATGAGTTTAGATGAACTGAATTCAAACTTACACTAGACGAGGGTGCGATTAACGCGCTCCTATTTCCTCACGTAGAGGAACCATTAATGCAACATTTTTTAGCTTACTTTTTAAAGGGTAAAGGCCTGTTTGAAAATAACGTTAGAGATTAGCGTTAACGTTTTCAAAAGACTATCTACAGGCAGCATTTAGCATTAGCATTTTCAAATTAATCTGCATCTTTAAAATTTTATCCAAAATGCTAACGCCAATCTCTAACGTTATTACCAAACAAGCCCTAAATGTCCATAATACCATTCCATTTTAAGACTCGCCCAAATTAATTCACTCCTAAATTAAAGTAGAGACAAAACGTTAACTAGCAAAGTTAAAAATTATTTATTTTATATTTTATTAATTTTAACTAAAATCAAAAGTGGTTCTATAAATTGGGATCATTTTGGACAAATAACAAAACAATAAAATTTTCAACTCATTATTCCATTAATTTTTTCCCTGAGGAGTGTAAAGTGACTCAAAATGCACAACTACTTGAAAACTTGAATACTCCTTCCGTCCACGGTTTATCTTTTTCGTTTATTATTCATAGAATCAAACTTTATTCACTTTATTGGCATATTCTTATTGTTCATTTGACAGAATAACATAGTAATGTACTCATGTTACCTCTAGCTTTGTAGATCTTTAGATGTCGTTTTTTAATATATAATTTTTAATTTTTAATTCTACGCTATTTTTTGTATAAAATGATTTGAAAATAACTTCATTCAAACATCATAATGCATAACGAGAAAATAATTTTTGAATGGAGAGAGTATTTCACATATCACTACAAAGTAAGACTATTTTTTGAAAAGGTAAAATGTGAGATTATTTTAAATAATTTAACCAACATTTAGAATCTGTTCTTTAAGGTTTAAACTTTCAATTTCTTAAAGTTCCTTCCAGTTTCTTACAGTTTCTTTCCGTTCTTCCAATTTTTTCTAATTTGTTCCAATTTCTTCTATTACTTTCAATTTCTTCCAATTACTTCCAATTTCATCTAGTTTGTTTTCAACACTCTTAATGGGAAGGGTTTCCGTCCATAAAATGTGGCGGGGATAGCGCGGGGCAGGCCCCAACATAAAATGATGCCAAATTTGAACGGAGGAAAGGGCGATTGGACAAGATATGGTGGGGGGATTGTAGCCGGGGAATATTTTCCTGTCGCCCCGGTCTCTACGTCGTTTCACTCCACTGTGTAAAGATTCCCGTTGTTTCAGTTCTCATCATCATCACCAATGCTACTTGAGTTGTGCCACGGTTCCCAATAGGGATATACTAAGGGTATACCAAAGATGTATTCCAAATATACACCACTCCTCTCTTTACCATTCATTTTATTTTGTTTTTTATTTTATTTTTTTTGAATTTTTATTACTTTTTTTTGTGGTGATGGAGGGGTGGGGGATGTTTGAGATACACTTTTGGTGTACCTCTAGCATTTTCCTTACGAATACCCCGGAGTACTATTTTTGTTGGTAAATAGTTGAGCTTCCTTGCACAATTGCCACTTTCTACCTCTTCTCTCTGTCCAACAATACCGTTTTCGTTCACTATTTATTGGGTCAAATTTTATTCACTTTATTGGTCTATTTTTTATGTTTTATTTGATAAAATAATATACTCATGTCACATCTAATTTTGTAGATATTCTCATGTAGTTTTTAAATATGTGATTTTTATTTTTTAATTTCTTACCATTTTTTATATAAAATAATTTGAATATATATAACTTCAAACAAACATTATAATGCGCAACGAGAATTTTATTTATGGACAGAAGGAGTATGTTGCATGAATTTTTCAAATAGGTGCTGCTTCCCGTCCCTGAAATGTCCTGAGTCGGGTACTTGAAAGAGTCATCACACCCAAATCTTTTATAAATTATGAGAAAAATTGGCGTTTCATGCTTCCGAACTCGTCCCATTGCAAGTTTTCATCCCCGTCTCTAGCTTGCCAGAAATCTAACTCGACTCTATTCTCTTGGCACTCTTTGACTTTGCCACGAACGGTCACGGTTTTCTAGATGGCAATGCTAGAGGCACAAACATGAAATGTCTATGTAACTGTTTTTGCTCTATGTACAAATGGAGTATCCTTTTTTTGGTGTATCCTACCTGTCAAGGAACCAATTCAACCTAAAGCTCAAACTTGTGGTTGTGTCCTAGGAATAATTTTATATACTCTAATACGCCCCCTCACGTGCAGAAATGACTTTTTTAGTCTTGCACGTGAAACTTTAATTTTTTAAAAATTGGGTAGCGGTCAGTTTCGAACTCGTGACCTCTTGACCATTAAGGCTCTTGGCCATGTAAGAAACCAACTCAACCGAAACCTCTTGGTCAATATTAAGGGGCAAACTTTACAATTTTTAAAAAATTTAGAAGTAAATGATGCACTTTTTTCAATTTATAATTATGTAAAACTTTTAATTTATTTATAAATTTCATTTGTTAATCTTACATCAACTTTCAAACAATTTAAATAAGAAATTAATTTAAGCAAAAAATCATAAATCGAGGTAAAAACTTTATTTTAAAATAGAGGAAGTATATATATTTAAATACGAATATCATTGTTTAAATCCACATCCTAAAATTGTAGAACCATATAAACCCCAAAGTTATTGAAGACTTCTTTTGGGCTTTAGTTTGCGTTATGCAGGCCATGTATGATTGGGCTTTCTCCGAATAGCGTGCAGACCCGATTTCTAGCAGATTCTTGGCCTGCAAAACCGTTGACTCACACAGTTGAAAGTTTCAGTCGGAGCCAGACGACGATCGGGAATAGAGGAGCTGCGGTGGGCGAATTTCGGCTTGAATACATCTCCTTAACTATATAAATTAATCCTTTATTGCGGCGGCGGCGGTGGTAGAGGCGGTGCCGGTGGCTGAGGCGCAGTGATTCTAACGGCATGGCGTACCGGCGGAGGCAGCAAATGCACAGGACTTCTGCTTCCAGAGACGAGTTTGATAGTCCGCGCAACCCTCCCCCGCCTCCGATATCAATCCCCGGCGAAAACTCGTCTTCTTCTTCGTCGGCGTCGTCTTCGCTCGCTGCAAAGGCCATCCGAGCCTCATCGGCGCATCGCGACTTTTCTCTGTCATCGGCGTATGGAGAATCTGCTGTTTCGTCTCCTAGGGATTCTATCCCCCTCAGATCTCCCTATCCTGCTTCCTCAACAAAGGTCCCCTCTCAGTAACTTCATTCATCTGTTGCATTTCTGAATTCTGTGTGTGCATCTCTGTATTTGGTTTTTTACCTTCTTTACTTTCGAGTATCTAATGAGGGAGTGATGTATGAGTGTTATTTGCTATGAATGTGTCATTTCGAAAATGGAGAGCTTGTCTGAACTCATAATTGCATTTTATGCAAATTTATACTGCCTACTCCATATTATGTGATCTTGTTGAACTATATCCTTTCCATCCTTGGAGTGCAAATAGATAAACTTTTGAATCTTAGGCCTTCTCCTTTTTATTTTAGGAGTAGATGTCTGGATAGGCATAGACTTTACCTCCATAGCGGAAGCCAAATAAGACAACTGCAGTTAAACCAGCATATGAAGTTGGCAATAGACTTGTAGATATTCCTTTGAATTGTGCACCTGAATTCATTCATTTATTTTAGAAATGCATTTTTTCCAGTTCGGTCAGATTTGTTTTGTACACATATATGTGTAGGATGCATCCAACTACGTATATACTTCAATGAAAAGCTTGGATGAACCAAAACAAGGATTTTGGAGTGCACTGGCCAGGAAGGCAAAATCCATTCTTGATGATGACGATGCTGACCAACTACCGCATGAAGCTGCAGAGGGGACAACAGCACGTTGGACGTCGGATAATACAAGGGGTCAGGTCAGAAAGAGGGTTTGAAAGCAAAAAACTTACAATCCTTTGCTAATCTTTACTTCCTTGATGTCAGATGTCAACATTACTATCATTTCTTCGTGTTGTTTAGATGTATTTGGCCTTGGATATAAACATAATAACCCTAAATTATGTTGTTCCCTCCTATCACCTTTGTGATTCTCACAGCAGCGTCATGAAGGGCAAAGGAAACCAGAAAATCATGAAGTGCAGAAAGGATTGGATGTCCTTGCATCTTCCCTTAATTATATTAGCGGCACCATTGGCAATGCTTTTGAGGTAGGCTTGTCATACTTCTTTGTAGTTGTGCCATACATTTCTGATATTTCTGTCAATAATCTGCGAATTTTGATGTGATGCATCCTTCCCTGCTTTGTCATGAGTATTTCCAAAACCCATTGCAGGAGGGCCGTGCAGTTGTGAAGAATCGTACTGCAGATATTCTTCAGGAAACACGTAAGCTGCAAATAAGGAGAAAGGGAAGTACTGGTACTTCTTTGCAGAATGAATCTTCGAATGTAATTGGAACCCGGCAAAAACCTGTTATGTGGAACCATATGCAAAACCAGCCACAGACTGATTTAGACACTCAGCTGAAAGCATCTCGCGACGTAAGGTGGCAATTGTGTATTAGTGGTTTTGATATTTATTTTAAAATGCTTATATATGACAAATCAATGATAAATTACTCCAATACGATGTTTAGTGGAAGCATCTCATCATTTATTTGGAGAATGACTGAATTGTCTTTGATATTGAGGTTTGAGTCTTTGAGGGCATATTTATAGTACGGTAATAAATTTGTTAAAGCATTTGAGGGTTGAGGATTCATATGGAACTCTGGAACTGCTAGGGAATGAAAATAAAAACGAAAGTAGATGGGAAATTAAGAGTGAAAGAAAATTAGTTGGTAAATATACTTTTGGTTCAAAATCAATAAATAAATTTAGAATTTTGTTTGTAATAATCTTATTCGAACGTAAAATCTAAAGTGTTCTTATTGAAATTTATTTTCTTTTGAGTTTTTTCAAGGCAAACCAAATAGTCCCTCTTCCTGTAAAAAGAGTCCATTTCTTGACATGCTTTTGTCCCCAAAAGGATCCTGTTTAATTAAAACCAGCTAATTTTCATGTTTTATAATGGTTGTATTTCACTTAAAATTAAAAAGTTGTACATCAATGGAACTTGACTCTTTTTATGGGACGGATAGAGTATTAAAAATTCATTTTCATCCTTCCGCTACCATTTCCGGGTTCAAAAATAGCCCAAGTCATATGAGATCAGAAACTGTATATTTTTGCTATGTGGAAAAGAACTGGTCTTGTGAATATATATTCTAATCTGATGCAGTTACAGTTGTAAGTTATGTGATACACTCTGCTTTGTATGTCAGGTTGCAATGGCTATGGCTGCAAAAGCAAAACTACTACTACGGGAGTTGAAGACTGTAAAAGCTGATCTGGCTTTTGCAAAAGAGCGCTGTGCACAGTTAGAAGAAGAAAACAGAGCTCTTAGACAAAGTCGCGAAAAAGGTGGCAGTCCAGAAGATGATGATTTGGTAGGCCCTTTTAAGTTTTTAACGAGTAATATGTTCATTTTTATTTGCAATTGTGTAGGATCACAAATTGGCACTCTTATGGTCTTGCTTCCATATCTTTTTGGTCGTTTTTGAGTATGCACTTTAAGGCTATGCTTTGATCCCAAAAAAACTAGGGGAAAAAAGATATGGTTCGGGAAGTTATTGTACTCGTAATTATAAGTATTATTTTTAATGGTTGGTTTTACCATGGTGTATGCAAAGGAAAATGAAATACTATTGTTTTTTCATACAAATTTAGAAATGTGAAGATTTCTTCTCTAAGTATTTATTTAATGTACGGAGTATATTAGTAAGAATAAATTTATTGAATAAACATATCTTTTATTTTTCTCTCATAATCCCTATTTTCTTTCTATAAAATCTTCCTCGATGTTTTCCTTCCTAGTATTAGTACTGTTCACTAGTGCTTTCCGAGATCCAAACAGACCCTACTAGAAACGAAACTACGCACCCTCGTACATCTGTAACAGTGACTTTAGTATTCTGCAAACTGGCCTGAATATGAATTTTTCCTTGTGGTATTTTACGTGTATTTTTACGTAAATGAATACGTCCATTCCGATGCAAACTAGTTCTCGGGATTAATTTTACCATAGCTTAGCTTTTCTTTTTCCTTTTTTTTCTTTTTTCTAAATCTGAGTCAGTGAGGATATTGCTATTTTCAAATTGGTAATTGGTGGATTGGTTTGGTTGCTACGTTTTATTATTCCTGTCCTTGTTTAGAAGTAATGATTATGACGTGGGTGCATATATATCAGATAAGGCTCCAACTGGAGACACTTTTGGCTGAGAAGGCAAGGTTGGGTCAAGACAACTCAGTCCTTACTCGGGAGAACCGTTTCTTGAGGGAAATTGTTGAGTACCACCAGCTCACCATGCAGGATGTTGTGTACCTGGATGAAAATAGTGAAGAGGTCACAGAAGTTTACCCTGTAAAGGTACTGCATCTATAAACCGACAATTGTTTTGTACCCTTTTCCCTTTCCTCTGATCGCACCATTTCCTTCCCAATTCCAGGTTGCAAGTCACTTAGACGGTGACCTCTCATCTCACCCTCTGCCATTCCCAGAGCTTTCAGATGCTTCTGATGGTGGTGACACCTCCTGCATACCCGAACCAACAAAAAATGGCATGGGAAGACATTCAAAGTCATTTTCGTAAAACGGTTTTTTTTCCGTGTGTGTTGGGGGTGGGGTGACATCTGGTTTACATTTCCATGTGTCTGTTATATACTCGAGGACGGTGGGTGGATGCACATTTGCACATAACTCATGTATTACTAAAGAAAGATTAGGTTTGAAGAGGAAAGTCCCTTTGTTATTATGGAACCTTGCAAAAGAGGTCTTTTGGAGTGTATACTTTTGAAGAGAAAAAAAATATATTATGGGAGCCTTAATGTGGTTCTGCAAGTTGTAGGGAACATATGAATATGATGTGATAGATATAATAAGGCTCACATGCCATCTTGTGTTGGAAAATGTTACTATAATCCCAGGATGATATCGAGTTTGACACCATCATGGATGAAATGATTGTGAAATGATGAGAGTAACAATGTTCGTGTCATTCGTGGTGTTATTGCAGCACATTATGTTGTGTTTGTTCACTATGAGCTGCATATATTTGTATCCCTTTGAGAATTCTCACCCAAAGTTTAACTGAAATGGGGGATCAATGCGGGTGATAACCAGCAAAAATAGAAATTGAAATGCCAACATTGTATCATAAGAATTTATTTATTGATATTAATGTTTTGAAAGTAAAATTTGATGTGATGATGATCATTATGTGACAATAGATGTCTATTTAGATTCTTGAAAATGCCTCTTTGGCAATACACTTTTTTGAAAGTACAATTGTGTGATTGGTGTTGAATTTGTATGTGGATAGTATTGGGGCACTTAAACATAGCAAATATGGTACTCCTTTGTTCCAATTTAAATGGAGTAATTCACAAAGAATTGTCGATATTATATACTCCCTTTACCCCATAATTAATGTTCGTTGTGGGTAATGAAACTTGATTGAGTTTATTTTTAATATACTTTATATAAATAATGATGCAAAATTTTAAACTAAATTTTATATACTTAAGAATTAGATCAAATGTTTTATAAAACAAAAGGTGAATAACTATATTATTTAAATAAGTGACTAACGAAAGTAAATACTACTGTAATGGTCCATTTGGTAAATGAAATTGACGGAATAGGAATTGAATTGGAATTGAAATTCCATGAGATTCAATTCCATAGAATTTGAATTCTGCCAATTCCAATTCATTTTTTGCATTATCAATTCCAAATCCACATAATTTTTGTGCTACCAAACACCAGAATTGGAATTGAAGCTCTCAATTCCAATTCCATAGTTTGAATTCCGCGTACCAAACGGGGCCTAAGAGAAAAGAAAAAGTTTGACATGTGAATATTATATCAAAACTTATGTTTTGGGATGATGATGATGATGATGTAAATTAAATATCATTAGACCATATCATATTTCTGTGAAAGATACGGACTACGGAGTACTTCGTGTTTATATACAAGTACAGTTACCAACAATTAAAATGTTGCATGGGAAACAATCAGAAGTCAAATATGAGATGTATTCTGGTACAAACAAAATTAGGAAAATGGGACAAAGACACAAATATAATGTGACAAGAGGTTACTAAAATTGGAAATTCTCACTTGAGTGGTAGGAAACTCGTTCCCCAGAATTCATGAGAAAGTTCACTCAGCTTCGAGTCCCAGTGGAGGCGGAACATTGACTCTTTCTGCGTAAAAAAGACCCTACAGCTAAGACATGTTCTGATTTCTTCTAACATTCAAATACAGGGGAAGTGAATGACTGTACATATATACACACACACACACAGTTGGTGTTGTTTGAGCCAGTGTGTCATCTGGGAGTAATGGTGGGGACGACGCCGCTGACGAGGTCACTCCCGGAAACATCCGCTGAAACATAACCATGTTTCATTGCAGACGACGACGAGCTGGTGGCATTGTCGTGAACAGTGACTCCCGATCCCCCCGTTTCAGCGGCGTCCGACTCCGGCGGCATCATAGCCCGTATGCATTCCAGTTCCCTAACCACTTCTGCCATTGAAGGCCGCGAGCACGTTTCTTCGTGGCAACATTTCAGTGCCAATGTTACAAACTTCTCCACACACTCTGTGGGGTACGATCCCATTCGTTCGTCGATCACAGAGAGTATATCGCCCGATGAATATGCAGCGTTGACCTGAATTGGTAGAGGCAATGGGAATCTTTAATATGGATTTGCGGCTTTTATTGAAGAAAATTACAACCAACCAAACAAACAGGGGATAGCTCACTATACCTCCCTCACAATGTTTTTGCCATGAGAAATAGGGTGCATTCCGGTCAACAACTCTAGAAATACTACCCCGAGGCTGTAAACGTCGCTCTTGTCTGTGAGTTTGTTTGTTAGGAAATACTCCGGATCGAGATATCCCTGCAGAGAGTGACATTGTTTCGTGAAGGTCTTGATCTTATAATATGGAATCCTCAAATCTTAATAAACGTTGAATTAGGGCTCGTTTGGTGAAGAAAGTTGGACTGATATGATATGAGTTTCGAAATCTAGAAGAAATGATATGGGCTCTGAAATCTAAAATGAAAGTATTAGGAGAGATCTGAAATGATTGTTGTTAGTGACACCAGCAATGGCGGGTAGCCGGCGGTTGAGGAAATATCAAAACCTGCAAAATGATATCTCCCAATATCAGGAGATACCAATTCTGAACCCTCTTTAGACTTCACCAAACACTCACAAAAGGGTTCTGATATCAGGAGATATTAAATTAAAACCCGTATCCCCTGCAATCCCCAAACGAACCCTTAAGTTGCTTGCTGGTATGCTAGTGTTGATTCGATTCCAAGCAAAAAAAAAGAATGAAAATCTCCATTTTTGTCTCACCAACAGTTGATGCTTACCGGAGTACCCTTAACAACAGTAGAGACATGAGCAGGCAACTCCCCATGAAGATCGGGGACAGGAGCGAGGCGCGAAAGTCCAAAATCGGCAACTTTGGTTGTAAAGTTTGCATCCAACAATATGTTACTTGACTTGATATCTCTATGGAATATAGGGGGGTCAGCTTCGGTATGCAAATAAAGAATGCCTTTTGCAGAACCCAATGCAACTCTCAATCTCATGCCAAAGCTTAGAGCTTCTTTCGATTTAGCTGTAATATCAAAAAACCCACTGGTTGACATTAATGGCACAAGATTATGTTATAAGTTATAAGGGAGAAAAACTTTGGGAGCAATAGCTTACCAGATATATGATCTCTCAAACTGCCGTTTGACATGAATTCGTATACCAATATCTGAATGTGAAGCACATAAGATGATGTAAGAAATCATTGCGTACATTTTAAAGTCAATGGCTCTAGAACCCCTCTGCATGTCGGAACGGTTCTAAGAGCCACTGGCTCCAATTGAGGTACCTATATATAGTGCTCCATTCGCAAAAATGATAGTTTCTACCCTCTAACACCCCNGTCAAACAATTTGAACCCGAAGTCAACTAAATTTGGGGGATGAAATCGATGGGGTTGAAGGAAATGGTATAGTTGTTTGCTTTAGAGTATAGGTTACGAATTGAAAGTTACCTGTTCACCTTCCTCTCCACAGTAACCAAGTAAAGACACAAGGTTTCTGTGATGCAGCCTAGACAATAGTTTAATTTCAGTAAGGAACTCTCTTTCAGCCTGCAATGATCCCGGTTCAGCGCGTTTGATCGCCACAGCTGTCCCATCCGCTAAGACACCTCTGTAAACTTTTCCATACCCTCCCTGCCCCGCAATGCTTGAGCTGTTGAAATTTTTTGTTGCTGCTGTCATTTCTTCAAAACCAAACTCTTTTACACCGTCAATTTTGATGGAGATCTTTGACACTACAAAAAAAAACTAATGAGTTGAGTGGTTTAAAATATAAAAAAATATCCAAGAAAAGCTATGATTAGTAAAGTAAAACCCACTCTGGCTTTTTTTGGATACTAAACGATATCTCTGCATATGAGATCTTAGAATGAGAATTGACAAGAAGGCAGAAAGTGTAACTGCACCGCCAATTGACCCTAGTATAATGCCGGCAATAGCTCCCTTGCTTAAGCCAGATGATGAAGCTAGAGGAGGGATGTCTGAGAGAACAACATCAAACAAACAAACCCAGTAAGGTACCACAGGAGGGAAAAATACATTAAAAAAATGATAAGGTGACATACAATTTGAATAGCCTCCCAGAAGGATGAACCCAAGAAGTTCATAAGGTCCAAAAAGATCATTATCAGGTATCAACCATCCGGTAAAAAAGCTCATAATCCGTAAAACTTCGCTCTTGTTGAATTCACTAGAACTATTATTGTCAACAAAGATTGGGTAAAACTGGAAGTCCATCTTCAACCGAGGGCCCGGTTCCCACGTAATGGTAGAAATATTAACTTGTGAGAGGTTCAGCTTAAGACCATCACTCAAGTACCACTCATACTCGTTCTTGTATGGCAGGAAATTGCGGAATCCCGGACTTTTTAACCTATACCTAACAATCAGAGGTAAAACACAAAAGCAAGTGGGACGAGGCATGGCATATACGTAGGGCGGGGGGCACCCCAATGGGGGACAGTCATTGGCTTTATCTGAGCCTGTGTTGTCAGTTCCATCACCAGAAGAACCACCACAAACTCCAGTTAGGTTTCCTTTTGAACAGACAGGGTTTCCTTGGAACCTAAAGCATCAAACCAAATAATTAATAAAAGATAAAAAATACATCACCTAGTATTACGCTGTAATGTAGTTGATTCACTTGCAAGGGAATCAATAAAGAATAATATATGCTCCCTCCGTCTCATATATTTCTTCTCGTTTTGGCTTGGCACGCTTTTTAATGTAAGATGAAAACTGTTTGACTTTCCATATTTGCCCTTGGTTGTGTAATAAATTAAATAGTTCAAAAGTTAGGGTAAAGTAGTTTTTTTTGTGGTAAAGAAGGTGAATAGTCTTTCCATTCAAGGAAAGGGGAAGACGAAAACGGAAAGAATGATATAGGTGCTGATCTACGAGCTTGGGCTTTTTGATAAGATGATTCCACAACATTAAAGAAATAGTCTGTAAATGGTTAAAGAGTATAGTAGTCCCAAACCTAACATCAACATTTTTGGGGATAAGCAAACTGCCTGATATATTGGAAACTGCATTGTTCTGAAAGTCCCTGTCATGCAAAAGAAAAACATGATTTAATTCATTAATTGATCTCAATGCTAGAGTAACTGAGCATTAAACGAAGATCACTAGGAAGAGGATGTGAGAAAGCAGAAATGCACGAGTTTCAGGTCTTACATGAAGAGTTTCTCGGTTCCATTGAGAACCCTATTTTGCCAGATAATGGATGGTACAGAACCACTTAATGAATTGTTCGCAAGAGACCTGCAAATGAAAAAAGGAAATAAAACTTCATCTGAAGCAATTCATTGGAAATAAGATTAACTCTGTACAACAACAACAACAACACGCCCAGTAATGGGGAGGGTGTGTTTAGGCAGACTTTACCCCTACTCTAAAGCAGAGAGATTGTTTCCAAGAGACCACAGGCTCAAACACAGTAAGAAACTAAAAATAACTCTATTAGAACACCAAAACGCTTACAGTCTCTGCAAACGAGGAAGTTCAGAAAAGCTTGCAGGGATACTTCCATTGAGATTGTTGTTTGATAAATCACTGCACAAGTGTTGCAAGTCGATAGGATTAGAAAAAGAGGACGAAGCACAGAATCTGCTCAGAGAACGACTGATAATAGATAGAGTACATGAATGAGTCCAGAGAATAAACAAAAGGCGCTTACATGGTTGTGATATTCTTAGAGAGCCTATTTGATGGTATGTTCCCTGTAAGTCGGTTAAAGCTGAGATCTCTGAAATGTGAAAATAATAATGATTATGATAAATTAATAATAATAATAATTATTATTATTATTATTATAATGAATTCAATAAGAAAAACATTAAAAAAATTTGGAGAATCATGGATTTGTTGTAGATGTGGCATATCACTTACATGTAACTGAGATTACCAATGTTGCTCAGGTCTGGTACTTGTCCTTGCAGGCTGCAGTTCCTGAGACTCCTGAAAGAAAACCAATGACAAGCATCCTCCATCAAATCTTGTTCAGTTTGGGGATTTCAGAGGGAGAGGAGGGAGTGATATTTATATTCTTACATTTAGATAGCGAGAAAGAATGTGGATGATAAAGATATTATGTAGAAGTAAATAATTTCTCTAAACACTCAGGTGTCTTTCTAGTCTATGATAAGCCAAGCAAGCCCTTAGAGGATCATACAATATCTGAAATATAGTCCTTTGGCCACAGCCAAAGCGTTTGGTCTTTGGTTATCAACATCATATAACAGATTAATGTTAAAAAGTTTCACATACACTATATTGGATCCCTTCTATACTTTAACATACAATGTGAAAAGACAACATCATGTCCTATACTCCTATAGATAAATACCTATAAAACACTAAGCATTCACTTCCCTCTTAATAAAGCTTACACATTTTTGGGAAAATGATGAGGATATAATCCCACATTGAACACCCAAGCTAAAAAAAAACACTGATATATAAGAATATGAGTTACTTACTCCTTCCATTACTAATTGGTTTTGAGTTGGAATCTCATAATTCTACAAGGTATGAGAGCCAAGACCTATGAGCCCAAAAAAAGAAGGCCATGTCTATTCAAGCAAGTGACAACTTGAGTAATAAATACTCAAGTTGCACTTGAAGGGGATGTTGAGGATGTAGACTCACATCGAACACCCAAGTTTGAAATCTCATAAGTCTACAGAAAAGAAAGATTGGCATCACTTACATTTTCAGCAAACGAGACATGTTTCCATATGACTCTGGTATTTGACTCCCTTCAAAGTGGTTGTTGTCAAGTTGACTGCATAGAGAGAGGTAAAAAGAATTATTAGCAATTATTAAATTATTAACAAACTTTTTTAAAAAATGCTATTTTGGGCTCCACATTTAAAAGAGCTAATAATAACATTTTTAAGTGCTAATAAATTCCACAAGGCAGCATAGAAGAAGCAAGTTTATAGATTTATTATCCCGTACATGAAGTCTTAACTTCATGCAAATGTACTCCTTCCGTGTCATTTTATAGTCCCACATTCTTTTTAGCGTGTTCCACAATTATACCCACTTCCGTTTTTTAGCACCATTAACTTTGTGCAATTTTAAATTTGCCTTTTTTAAATAATTTGATGTGTGGACATATTTGTTTAGCCTTTTATGATTCGTAATTTACAAAGTGGTAACAACAACAACAACAACCCAGTTAAATCCCAATAGAGTAGGGTATGGGGAGGGTGTGTGTACGCAGACCTTACCCCTACTCGAAAGTAGAGAGACTGTTTCCAAAGAGACCCCCGGCTCAACGTCGAAAGTTGCATTGCTTGACTAACTACTACTTCATTAATTAAAGACCATTAATTAAAGAAGAGCAGACAGTTTAGAAATCCATTTTGATTTATTCCATCAGACCCCAAAGCCAAAAATGGTGAAATTTACAAAGTGGTAAGTCATCATAAATAGATGATTTATAAAAATACAAACTCAAACTCGTCAAAGGTCTAACAATACTCTTCTTATCAGTTTGACCACTTATGCAGAAAGAATTGTAGCTTACAGAATGCGCAAGTTTGGCATTTCAGCCAGCTCCGGTGGAAGGTATCCCGATAAGTTGTTATTGTCAAGCAATCTAAAAATTCAAACACATTAGCTTCCGAAAACAAATAATCAGAAACACAGGATGCAAATGAATAGTCAGTGTTAGAATATAAAAAGCCTTTGATAGGCCTACAACCACAAGCTTGAGCTTTTGGTTGAGTTGGTTCCTTGACATGGTATCACAGTCTTGTTGAGCAAAAGGTCACAAATTTGAAACTCAATAGCAGCCAATTTTAAACAAATTATAGTTTCACAGCCACTGAGGGGGTACTAACATGGTTAAAGCCAAATATACAGTCAACTTACAAGTGAACAATATTTGGAAGTCTAGACAGCTGAGGTGGGATTTGACCACTTAAGGAGTTGTTATTCATGTGGCTGTCCAAGAAAAAAAGGTACACAAAAAGTTAGTAAAAGAGCATAAAAGCATGTCCAACGATGAAAAATTGGATTATTCATTAGTTTTCTTACAAGTGTTTTGTTTTGTTCAAGTTGGAAAATGAAACGGGTATAGGTCCAGAAATATAATTCTGGTCAATTTGTATCCTGTCCAAGTTAGGAAGATAACCAAGCTCTTCAGGCAATGAACCTGTCAGTTTGTTTCCATTCAGAAGCCTGGAGACCAAAGAGCGATGCAGAAAATCAGAAACGCAATATAGAATATACTTTGTTTTGGAGCTAATGAACAAACTAGATGACCAACTTACAATAGTTTTAATGATGTAATGTTCCCGATTTCCTTTGGTATACTTCCACCAATACTGTTCCACATTACGTCTCTTTCAGGGCAAACAAAAAGTAAAGATATTTGTTAAAAATGAGCATACATAAAAGGCATACATCTTCATACAAAAAAAACTTACAATATGTTCATATAAGATAAGCGGCCAAGCTCGGGTGATAAGCTTCCTGATATGTTCATATTCAGAAGTTGCCTGTTACAATGACAAGATAAGGACCCCATCCTTTGACACCATAAGAATATATTCCCTCAGCCCCGAAAAGAACTTCAGTGTTTGAATTTACAGAGTTCAATATAAGTGTGTGGTGAAATTTGTTTAGAATAGAGAAATTGTGTATGCCACATATTCCTTACCTTTTAGGGAATAAGTAAAAGTGTGAAGTTTTTTTAGACATCCAAAAAAGGAAAGTGTGAAGTTCTTTGTGGGATGGAGGGAATATATGATGCTAATTATGTGAAATTATGTTGTAATGGATGCAAATAATTAGTTTGTCAATTTTCCAAAATAAAAGACCTAATGTGAACGTGTAATGTCTGTATTATATACTCTTATCAATATTTTTCCTCTACAAAAAAAAGGATGGAAGTCTTTAGTGCAGAAAAGAATTTAGACAAATACAAAGTAAATGTTTATGTTGATGAAAACGTGATAAAAAAACGAGACAAGCATGGAGAGTCATACAGTTCTCGAACATGAAGGTATCCGTCATTCATGGTGTCATTATAGCACAGCACACCAGTCCAATTAGAGACACATGGATCTCCCTTTCTCCAGTTACTGAGATTCCTATTTGGATCAACCAAACTGCCCTTAATGGCAAGCAATGCCTTCACTGCATGTATGTATTTGAAAGTGAACACACTTGAAGTTCATCCATTTATATCTTCAAAGAAAGAATCAGGTCCCAAACTTCTACTAATTTTAATTTTTTAAGTGCTCGTTTGATTTGGTTCTTCTCTTAGCCATTTCTGAGCTATTCAAAAATTAGTTGATTCTAAAGAATCAAACAATTGATTGCTCTTGAGAATCAGATTGTGTGTAGCAAAATCGACATTTGATCCTCCCCAAAATTGGAAACACCAGAAGCTTCTAGCTTATTCTGATAATTAGATTCGAAGAAACTACAATAAGATATCAAAACAAATGCTGTTTGAATCTAGGCAATGCATAAACTCAGCTTATTTTAAAAAAAGCCTTGAAACCAATGAACGAACTCAACCAAAAGCTCAAACTTGTGGTTGAAAGCATGGGAGTGGTTTTGCACCCTAATACGTTATTAGGGTGCAAAAATTATTTTTTTGAAAAAAACATTATTCTTTTTTTTTAAAAAAAGGGTGGCGATGAGAGTTGAATTTTATATCATGTCAACAAATCAATTCAACCAAAAGCTTGGATGAAGGCCCGGGTTTATACACTAACATAAAAGGGAATAAAGTTGCTACCTTCATCAGGATGAGTAACTCGGTCATCTGCCCTTGTAAACAACATAAACCAACAAATCCATACAAGCAAACTCACTCCAATCCAAGTGATTCTTCTGGTGCTCATTTCCCAGATTCAGAAACCTCTTCTGGCAATACTAGATCCGGACACAATTTGCAAAATCACTACCTAAAGAAAAACAAAAAACCCATTGCAAAGATGCAAGAAAACAATGCATATGCATATTCTACAACAACCGTGCCCACAAATTTGGGACAAGAAAACATCAGTGAAATGAACAAATTTGGGTCAAAAAATTCAAAACCTGGTAGGCCTCGTTTGTCTCAGGGGTTTACCTTACAGAGCTGGAGAAAAATGAGTATACAGTGGGATAGAAGTGTTTGAAATTGAAAATTTCTCAAGTGAGATGAGAAAAGAAGAAATTCCTGCGGCATTCGTGAGGTGGGCTGCTGTGATTTGTTGTGAAATTGAATAGTATTTGGATGATCATTGATTAGTAGTAGATATAATACACCATTTGATGATAATAATGGATTTACATTTGCTCTGGGAATGTTGACTTTCTGGAAGACGAAGTCGCAGCATGTGCATGTTGATGAGCTGTTCTTCTTGATCCCATACTTTTATGTAGTGGTGATGATGATGATGGCTCAACAAGATTTCTGGGTCAGGAGTGGAAAAATCGTCGGCGGGGTTTGCCGAACTCCGGTCCGAAGGGGGATGGGGTGCCGTGGCATCTTTCGGATTCACACTTCACTGTTTGATGATGACTGTGCCAGTCTTTGGCGTACATACGTAAAGAAACTGCTCCGAACCACCAAGGGATTGTTTGGTTTGAAGAGAGTGTTTTGAAGAAATGACGCCACAAGGATCAAGCTGAATCATTCAAGTGAAGATTCCGAACCTATATGCGATGTTGGTGTAAGAACTAGTAAAGATTCCCCACTCTATGAATTCATGAATTGAATCACGTACTGAAGATATTATCTTCTTCACTCGAAATGAAATCAACCATAGTGTTACATCAAACCTGTCATTATCAAGAACGTATCTGGATATATCCCAAACTCGATGAAGAAAATTGAATACGACGAGACGTATATGAAACGCCACTCTAACGTTATCACATGTGGATACGGATTAATGCAAAGACTCATTAACGATAATGAGATCTACCATGAAGTAAACGAAGAAATGTTTCGGTATAAGGTCGATAAATGACAAGCTGCTGTACAACGAGTAGTACCTCCTCACAATGTATGATAAATCCCATATCCTGAAAATCTTGGACCACGAAAAGCCATTTGATGTTACTTACAAATCATTCTGAACTATATGAATAATGTGAAGATGTCTTGGATGATTTCGCTAAAACGTATGGATTGAAACAACCTCGGAATCTCCTACTACATCTATTGTGATTCAAAACTACGAATACTGCTAAGGGACTTTCAATCAAAGAAAGAATGTTGTTGACTAATGACATACAATCGAGACTTGTGAATGAACGAAATGATGTACAAATATGTCTAGTATGATCCAAAATACGATATTATACCTTGCAAAGGAACTTAAGCTATGGTTGTTGAATCTGAGCGGGAACCTATGAAATGGATTGTTGGATGCCTTGCCTATTAATCTCTTGAAGAAAGAACGAGTTTGATAACATCGACAGTTTGAGAATACGTATCCGTTTGGATAATGACGTAAATATGGTTTAACCAAATGAACATGACACAGTCATGATAAAATGAGATCACTACGAAATGTTAAACGTTGACCTTTAGAAGAATTTCGAGG